AAAAAAAGTTGAGTCATATATCTAAAACGTTATTCAACAGCTGCACAACTGAATTGAACATGGACAATTAAATGTAGCCTACTCCTAATAATGTTATTTTCCCCTCAAAAACCAAGGGCATCATTTATAAAATACAAAATAACTTTGAATACAACAGTATAAAATTTAACTTAAAATGATTAGATTAAGCCAAAGTTCCTTCATCCATTCAATTTAAACGCTGGATGAGCAGCAAGAATCAAAGTTAGCAAATAATTCACTCCTACCACAATGTGTGCCGATGTGTGCATAGTTAAGAACATGCCATCTGTAGGCTTATCGAGGAATGGCAACGTTTCTTCACCTCAAATTGAAATATACACTGTATGGACAAAAGTATTGGGATACATGTCTTAATCATTGAATTCAGGTGTTTTATTCAGACCCATTGCCACAGGCATATAAAATCAAGCACCTAGCTATGCAGTCAGGTTGACAAACATCTGTGAAAGAATGGGTCATTCTGAAGAGCTCAGTGAATTCAAGTGTGGTCCTGTCACAGGATGCCACCTTTGCAGTAACTCAGTCCATGAAATTTCTACTCTGCTAGATATTCCACAGTCAACTGAAAGTCATACTATTGCTTAGTTGAAGCATTTAGGAACGACAAAAACTCATCTACAAAGTGGTAGACCATGTAAAGTAACAGAGCGCTGAGTTTGCTGAGGTTGCTGAGTGCTGAGGCGTATAGTGTGTAAGTTGCCAAGATCAAGGCATCTTTTATTAATCAATAATTGTTATTTTTTCAAGAATAAAAAATATTATGATGGCATAAAGGACATATACTATCCAAGAAAAGCTCATTATTGTCTAACATTTACATTATTAATATTTTGTGATAGCTATGTATACGTCTTCACACGCAATGTCTGAATAATGTAGCCATAATTACTATATTTTGAATTCCTGAGCATGACCAATAAATATTCCTAACAGTTAGGCATGTGACTATTGTAATAGAATGCTAAAAGGACAAAAAACATGTATTTTTTTTCCCCAAAAGTCATGAAGCCAAAATTTTAACGGATAACACGAGAGACTGAGATAAATTAATGTTAGAAATTAATAAAAAATCATCGCTGAACAGAAGATTCATGATATGTAACTGATTTTTTTCCCCCAACCGATTTGTCATTCAGCGTCTAAACCTCTCAACTATCCTACTTCAAGCACTCTAAGTCGACATCTTAGCAGTGCATTTCAGATGATGCTATTTTGTTGCACATTTGAATAAAATATGATACCCTGGGGAATTTTGTGATTATGATGACATCCAAAATGGGCAAGCTGGGTACTACTGATAGTACCAAGTTAGAAGTTTAACTAGGCCTAAGTCTAGATAATAGTTTCTGCTTGCACTTTTGTGAAATAATGCAATACAACAATAATAAGGGGATATTTACTGCTTGGATCAAATTATTCCAAGGACATACAGATTAAACAGGTGGTTCATAGCTAGCCTTTGGCTAAGGAATTATGGGAAATGAATGAATGAAAGGAGAGGTCCAAAGTAGGCTATAACCAGAACATTTATTGGATAAAAATGACTTTGAAAGACCTCTTCCATAATCTCACATTTGTTTATGATTCAATATGTTTAACATCACTTTTGTTTTATGTTGCCTAGTAATTCCAAAAATATTTTATCATATAAAATGTTCCATATTCACAGTCCATGCTGTTCTTGTGTATTATTGAAAATTCTTTTATCTAATTTAACATGTGCTGCACATTGAAAGAATCCTTGTCTATTTTCCATACAAAGTACTTTGGTTGACTTTTTAGCCTGTGGTGTTTTCCTTCTTGAGGACTCCTGTACTTGCAGGTTTCTGGTTGCTATATTATCTTTAAACACCAGGTGGCAGCAAGTTTTTCTTCTCTTGAGACTTAATGTTACCGCAGTTGTTCTCTCTTTTAATTAGAGTCTTGTAATACTGTTCTGGGCTTATTTTGATTTATGCTATTTCAACTGTTCTTAAATTTCTGTTTTCCTTGATATTAAAATCTAAATAAAAATTTCTATTATTTATGCTTTTTTCCAAGTGCTTGTCCAATACACTATTCTGAAGGAGCTTGTAGCCTGTCCCAGGTCTGCCCTGGATGGGATGCGAATATATTTACACAATTACATCCTCAGTAGACAAATTATAGACACATTTTCACCTGGTTCTCTTTGTACTATGGGAGAAATCAAAGTGTTTGGAGGAAAAGTGGGCGTTACATTGAGCAGCTCCACAGATAGCAGGGCTATGACTCAAACCACCAGCCCACTGATTTACTGTTCTGTGTATTAACTTATTTTTATTAACATGACAAATGAGCATAATTAGACAATCAACCAGTTAAGACTTGCATATAGAACAGGAAACATTCCATTTGCTGGCTAGCTCTTATTACTAGGGTAACTAACAGGAGGTTAAAAAACACCATAACTAGCGAGTCTACCACAGCAACATGAAATACTAGATTTTGATCGATATAAAAAGATGTACAAATGGAACAGATCATTTGACTACAACCCCGTTTCCAAAAAAGTTGTGTAAAATGTAAAAAAGACCAGACTGCAGTTATTCGCAAATTATATAGACGCATATTTACCTGAAAATAGAACAAAGACAGTTGTTGAAAATGAGAAAGTTTATTGTTTTATGACAAATATATGCTCAATTTGAATTTGATTCCAGCAACATGCTTCCAAAAAGTTGGGACAGGGGCATGTTCACCACTGTGTTTTATCACCTCTTCTTTTAACAATTAACACTTTATGGAAAGTGAGTAATTGTCATTGTTGACATGCCACAATGGAAAGTGTCCTCTGCATTTAACCCATACGGAGCATCTGTGACAGTGGACAGATATTATTCAGCACTTGGGGAGCAGCAAGTGGGGGCAGTACCTCTCACTGGGTATCTCAATGGTTTCTTGCTGGTTAGGGATTCAGACCAGCAACCTTACAATCACAAGCACGCTTCCATAACCATTAAGCCACTGCTGCCCCTTTGTAAATGTTTGGGAACTGAGGAGGCCAGTTTCTGCAGTTTTGAACGTGAAATGTTATGTCATTCTTGCCTGATATAGGATTTCAACTGCTCAACAGTTTGGGGTCTTCTTTTCATATTTTTCATTTCATGATGTGCCAGATGTTTTCAGTGGGAGACAAACCATGTCGAAGGGTTAGGGTTAGGGTTAGGGAAACCATGTTGAAGGGAAACAACTGTGGGGGGGCAGGTCTGGACTGCAGGCAGGCCAGTCTAGAACCTGGACTCTTCTACTGTGCAGCCATGCTTTTTCAGGGAAGGGCTTTGTATATTTCACCAAGACAATGCCTAACTGCATTCTGCGTGTATTACAACAGCATGGCTCTGTAGTAGAAGAGTCCAGGTGCTAGACTGGCCTGCCTGCAGTCCAGACCTGTCACCCATTGAAAACATTTGCCGCATCATGAAACAAAACATACGACAAAGCAAACCCTGAACTGTTGAACAGTTGAAATCCTATATCAGGCAAGAATGGGGCAAGATTTCACGTTCAAAACTCTAGAAACTGGTCTCCTTAGTTCCCAAATGTTTATCAAGTGTTGTTAAAAGAAGAGGTGATGCCACACAGCAGTAAACATGCCCTGTTGGCATCAATTTGAAACCTGCTGTTGGCATCAAATTCAAATTTGCATATATTTGTCATAAAACAATAACATTTCTGAGATTCAACATCTGATAAACATAGAAATTTGTAAATCATTGCAATATGTTGCACGTTTTACACAGTGTCCCAACTGAAATGGGCTTGTAAGTATATAAGTCAGGGAGGCCAATCTTATCCGCAAAGCGCCTGCGGGTGAGAAAAATGACAACTGAACGTGGGTCGCACCTCCTGACAACCCTTCCGACCAGCATTTCTTATCTACGGATATCAAAATCACTGTTCAGAATAATGCAGCTTGATGACAGCTTCTTAGATCTTCCAGTTGAATCGTGGCGTGAGAATCGGTCTTACCTAACTGCAAGCACTGTTGCTCGTCATTTAGCATGTGTCAATGACTGCGCAGAGCGATGGGTTGCACTGATTCAAGACTTCAACGAAACTACAATCGATGAAACACAAAAGCAGTATCTTCTACAGGTCGTTGAGAACCATCGTAAAAACTATCCTCACCTGACAGTGAAGGCAATGCACAACATATAGGTTATTGAACTGTCGAAGTTCTATGATTGACCAATGTATGACAATAATAGTAGCCAGCACTAGCAAAAGCAACTTGATTATAAAATGAAGATGTAAATTGTAGCCAAGACAGTTGACTGTATAATGTTTGTGTAATTTACATGCACACTGTAGTGTAACAATGTAAGCAATAGTATATTAGAGGCCAGTCGAGCAGATGTGTGTAATATTAAACGTGACTTGCGATGCTAGATTTGCTAATTTTGCTATAATTTATCTGCCAAGTCATTACTGCAACATCTAATTGGCTTTTATATTCTTATTCAGGACACTAAGTTATAGTAAGATTAGCAATGACAAATGCGCAGCAATTGTAATTCTGGAATTACATCGGGTCAAACACAGTGAAATTTTCAATCTCGATAGGTAAAATTTCAAAATTTGACCCCTTTGGGACGCCCCTAAATAATTTCTGATTAGCTTCAAATTTTTTCTCTGAGAACAACTTATTTATAGGAAACTTTTTGGAGGGTGAGACTTATACTTTTCAACAGTTTTGGTTTTTTGGGACACCCTATTGCCCACCCCTGAAGTAAGTGATAAGGGACTAAAAAATATTTTTTAAAATAAACAGGTAGATGGTTGTATTTCTGTACATATTTGGTAAAAACTAAATTCCGCTCAAACCTCGTTTACATTGAGTGAAACTTTCAGCGTGTGGAAAACCCATAGCTCAGTGCTGATGTCATGGAGGTACATATAAAAAGGCATGAGAGAGGAAGTCTGAGCAGACGAGTGCGTGTGACCGCGGAGATGGCACTCAAGCTGCACATCTGCGTTCTGCTGGGGCTTTATGTCGGTGAGTGTAATGCTTTGCTCTCTGTGACAGACATTTCATCAAGTTATTTAGTGGAATCCTTGGCCTGATAGGCACCTGTCAAATTTTCAAGCTGATCTGCAGATGAATGTTATTGTCTGTCTGCTTGCTTCTGACAATATAGAAATGTTGTTCTTTGGAAACTAGTTAGAAGACATATATTCCTGCTGTAGGTTCTATGATCTATATGTTCATACTTCTAATGGAAGCACGTTAGAGCATTAATGATTTATGCACAGAGGTTAAGACATGATTTTGGTTGATGGGCGACACAAAGAATCATTTACGCTTTTCATCAAGTTGTCTGTGTAGAATTAAGAAATTTTAAACAATATCCTTCTGAGGAGATAGGAATTCGGAGTTCATATGATATTGTTTTGGTAGTCACTCCAGCCATTTGTCATCCAGAATTAATGGATGTAATTGAGCATTAATGTAAATATAACTCAGGATTTTTAGACTGTCGGCAACTGCTCTTGGTGATGTAATGCCACTATACTGCACCGGTAAGAGTATGTCAGACAGAAACACTCTGGAGTCACTTTGTTTCGGACACATAGCTAGGACTGATTTAGAACCCATTTTTTACTTCAGAGCCGCTTTAAGGACAGGCGAGTTGCGCATTTGCAGAAGCCTTTCTGCACACCACTGCTGTACCGAGTTGTTATTTTTTCACTGGTGAAGTTTCTGTGAGCATGAACAAGTTTGACTGATCTCCACTGTCATTTTTGCATGGGGTTTTCATCCACAGGCATGCTGTATGTTTTTTGTCCACCGCACCATTCTCTGCAACCCATAGATTATGTAGTGCATGAAAATCACAGACAGGAGGGTGTTTCTGTCACAGCACATTGAAAGCACTGTAATGGTGGTGGGGTGGGGGGGGGATTTCCAAGGGGGAAAAAATTCCAAGGGCCCCTATAAAATTTGAAACGTAATTGGATTGGTCTGGATTTGGGGCCCAATGGGGCCCAAAATCTCTAGCAGTGCCCCAGCAGGTATCATTGCCTTTCGGATCCTTAACCAAACCGTACGTGACCCACTTGTTTCTGTCTGCTTGCTGTATGTGTTCACTTGCAGCCACATGATGCACTGTGTGTATCACTAAGCTGGTGGTAAAGAGGAGAATTTCAAGGGTGTCAGATGTGCTTCTTCATAGTTGACAGCAGGGGTGGAAATTTTTTACTAATACTGTAGTCCAACATTCAGTTATTACTAGCCAGCAGGTCAGGGTTCAGCTTTTTGTACTCATCCTTTGTCTAAATTGCACTCCTCAGGCGAGTGGGGGAGCTTAATGTCTAGCCCTTGATTACAGCAGTATTTAAATATGACCATGTTGCTCCACGTGTCTAGTTCCATTATTGCAAGGCAATCGCAAGAGAAAAATATCAATAAACTTTATTTGGTACACAAATAACAATGACAAATACACAATAAATGTATATTCCTTACAGAAGTACAAAATGTTTTTTTCAAAATGGCTAAAATTTCAAGCAATGACTTACATATTAATATAAGCAAATCCTCCTGAAAGGACCTGTACTTGCACCAAACGCCCACGTTTATGTTTGTCTGTAACACCTCCGCTTATTAGTAATGCTGTGGTCTTTCTTGCCCCACACAAGGTGTGAGGAAAAATAACGTGTGACCTTTGCATTGAAAAATATTCCAGTGCCCACTGTTGAGAGGGCGTGAGGAACCCCCTCACATCCATTGTTCGGACTGTCAACAAAGTTGCTTCTTACAGTAAATTTTACTTACAGTTCTACTTTTTAAACCATGGACAAAGTTCACTTTCAAGCTTGTCATGTGATCATTGTGTTTCTTTACCACATCCTGCAACAGTGTCATTGCCATAAAAAGGAGAAAACAGAAGTCTATCAGACCCCTCCCCCAACGACCACCCCCCACCCCCCACCCCCCATCACGTACAAATATATCTGTATATCGTCAGACCCCCCAAACCTGTGGTTTCCTGTAGACCGACCTACAGGTTTCTCTACACTTTCCACTGCAGCCCCCATGTCCTCTGAGGTGAACTTTCTCACTCCTCTGACGCAGCCCTTTGAAAGCTGGTGGGAATCTGATGGTCTGCTAGTGAATCATCATGCAATGTGGGCAGCCAGTGCTGAAAGGCTGAGCTCCATTATTACATCACATGCTGCGACGCTCAAGGCTTCTTTTCTACATACGTTGTCATGCATCTTAGCAGATCTTATGTTTTCAACAAACTGGAAAAAAAATCTCCTTTGACAGATTTATGATATTGCTTTTGTCATCTTTTTTTGTGAATTCTCAGTTTCCTTACCAGTTACTAACAACCAGAATGACAAGGTGCACCATACATGAATATTACAGCTATCTAAGGGTATAAACCATCTACGATGCTTTATAGTAAAAATGTTTTTAGCTGGAGTAACTGAGTTACTTTTTTTTCTATTTTGATCATGAATTTTCTTACTCCCTTTCCTTCCTCAGGTGTTGTAGAATCTTCAATATATGAGAACGTGACTGTAGTAGCGGGAAGAACACTAACCCTAAGTTGCCCTTTTAACTTCACTACAAGTGATTACTTGGAGTGGAAAAATCCAAGTCACCATGTGATTTTTTTCAATCAAGAAAAAGGTGAGGCGATACAGGTGGTTTCATATATATAATATATTGCATATGTGTTTGTTTCACATTACTCATGGGACAGAATTTAACTCAGTAGGCTGGGGATTTGTGCCTGTCTTGCTCATTGTTGTTGGTTCAAATCTTATAGCAAGTGTAACCATATCATTGTTTGACCCTTGACCACTGGATACCTGCACTGGACCCTGCACTTTGACCCCAAGCTTTCTTCACTTTTATGTTGCTTTGGACAAAATAATTATACATGTAAATTTAAGTTGCAACCAACATTCAAACGGTACTAATGACTTTATGGTTAATTGAATCATTTATGGATAGCATTTAGTGATGATGTTACCTGATATTGTCTGCTCTGACAAATGATTTTTTTATGGTTTAAATGGTGTTTTGAATGGTATTTATAACTATGTCTGATGTAAAATTTGTTTTATACTTTATACTTTGCAATTCATTTCAGTTCTAGGTGAATAGATGAATTACATGATGAACCTTTATAAAAATCTGGAGATTTGTCTTTAGCAGAACAAATTGACTGCTTACAAACGCATTAACTGACTTGCTTACACATTGCTTGAATGCACTGTATACATATTGAAGAATAACTGTCAAGGAATCCTGTTTGTGTTTTATTTGCAGTTCTGAAAGACAACAGGTACAAGCTTTTCTCCTCCTCTAATTCAGAATCCACCATCAGCCTGTCTAATGTCAATTTTAAAGACGGGGGTTACTACACATGTTTGGAATACTCCCATCCAGTCAAAACGAAACTGTTCAAAGTGACAGTTGTGGGTAAGTTTTGTTGTTTTTGGTTGTAGCAAAATGAAAAAGAAATCGATAATGTTTAATGATGGGATGTTTAATTTTGTGAGCTACTATAAATATCTATATAAGTAATTGCAAAGGTTAAGTCAAAATGGTGCCTGATACAGAATTCTGTGCTTTTCAAGGTCGCCCAAAACTTGAGGTAACTGAACATGATGGCAAGACTGCGATCAAATGTTCAGCGCAGGCAAATTTCCCACTTCCAAAAATATACTGGCTTTTTGAAAGTGGATTAGAAGTTGATGGTGAGTGCTGACCCAACATTAATGTCACTATGAATAACATAAATTAATGGAAATAATAGATTTTTTTTCTGAGAATTAAAATACAGAAATGAGACATAAAAACAATAGCTTCCAAATGGATTATTTAAAGAGTTTTCAGAGTTCTCAATCAAAAAGAAGAAATGAAAGTCTGTATATCCCCTACAAAAATAGAGAGCCTTTAAAGATCATTTTTCTAATTTGGTATCTTGTTTGTTTTTATTTGTAGCTGTAGACATATAGTTAAAGCATAACTGTTTTCATATATACCTGATATATGATGCAATATTCCTGTGTGTTATTTTTTATCTAGCCCAACCCCAGCATCACTGTGATTCAATTAAATGCTCTTCAGAGGATATATTACTAGTTCGATCTTACAAGAGAAGAACAATCGTGAAATGTGTCGTACGCCATGCAGCCCTGTACGACTCATACCTGATTAATTTTGTTGCCATTGGTAACAACTGTAAGTATACATGTGATATTTTCTATTAATGATTGTGTTGCTAATGGAAGCTATGTAATGATATATTGAAATCATGGGCATCGTTAGGTCCGATCACTCATTTTAAGACGAGCTCCGAGTATTTTAGTCCCAGGTAAACTTGACTTAGCGCCTAATCTTTTCAACAGGTAGGAACTCCCCTGAATGAAATCAAATGTTGCCCAGTACTAGTACCAGAATCCAGAAGTATTTAGAGGTTACACCTGACTGACAAAAAGGAACTGATGTGATTTGCTCTCCAAAAAAATCTTATATGAGGCAATTACAAGTTACGGCTGGGTGAATATCAGTAGACCCTGTGGCTGTCTGAAACCAGATTTTGATAGCCATTGTTATATATAAAGGATATATATATATATATATATATATATATATATATATATATATATATATATATATATATATATAACAATTTATATTTTTTGCAGATCTCACTTTTTTGGCCAAAGCTTCCAGTGATATTTACATGTGAAATATATATCATCCCTTGTTTTTAAAGTTCTCTTTATCTGTCTCGCAAATATATTTTTATTTTAAGTCAAGTTCGTCCAAAAGTCCTTATTTGAAGAGTTAGATATGGCTTATCTTGCCCTTGCGGTTTTAGGTCAAACAGGTAATTTCTATACCTGTTCGTAATTAGAACGCATTAAATATATCTTTATATAAAGTGAAAGATTTTTTAGAGTGAAAATGGAAAATCAGATGAAGTATTCGGACAAATTTGGTAATGATGAGAAGTAGAAGTTAGGACGCCCACATAGCTAACTGTAAAAGCAGAGATAGCCTATTACCCAGTGGTCATTTAATAAAATAGGAAGTGAAAGGCCTACAGCCTTGCTGCTTGTCATAACCAGGGAAACCACCCACACTGGGTTTCTTGGGTATTTTCCCCATTAGAACTGAATCCACATGATTATCAGCAACTGTGGATCAGTTTTAGACTCTTGGCTGCAGATGTATGTTTGACGATTTTATTACAGTTGAATTTTGTGTAAATTTTTTGTTAAACTTGTTAAATAAAATATACTGTTTCTTGCAGCTATTGAAGAACCACAACTGATATCAACACCTGCATACGTACCAAGCACTAGAACTTCAAAAGAGCAGCTTACAGAATCAGTGACTGGCACACAGTTCATCACTGACAGTGAGTGCATATCTGTGACTTGTGGAACATACTGTGAGCGTGAAAATATTATGTAGTACTTGGATGAAAAAGGGGACCACAACTTACATTTTCAGGCCACCGCACCACAGCTCAATTTCCTGCAAGGGTAGCTGAAAGGTGTATTCACAGAGTTTGACATTGACATTGTGGTTGTGCTGCATTCTTATTACTCGTTGTCATGGCAATGTAACCCTGAAAATTTTATCACTTTTGAAATTGTAACTAGTCCACTTCATTTTGGTGTTCTGAGAGCTGAGATACATTCCGTGATGAGATTTGGACATATTTACAGTGTCTAGTCCAGAATTGCGGAAAGAATAATCTTTCTTTATATAAGTTTAGAGTGTCGGGCATGGTAAGTGCCGGTGTTCTGACGAGTTGAGCTACTTTGTCGAGTTAGGCTACCGTAGTGCTAATCGATAGCCCTAACCCTAACTCTTACCCTAACTATAACTCTAACCCCCCAAAAACCCCTAAAACCCTTACCTTAACCCTAACCCCTAAAACCTAACCCGGATCCCAAAACGGTGGAACTGCACATGCGCAGAAAGGCTCGATAGCATATTTCGTTACGTAGCTCAACTCGTCAGAACACCCGGCTGATCACTTAATGCCCACGTTTGCCACCTAGTGGTGATAGTGTAGAAGAGGTACTTCATAATAATCCACAACCATCGCATAACATACAGTTGTAAACAATCACTGAACAAACTGTCAGATTCACTGTTTTCTTTAGATTGGTAGTCTCTATACTTTGGAAAACAAAATGAAAACCTTTTTAAAATGATTTGTCCCATGTTCCTGGATGGGAAATTCACAGTTTTTCCCTTAATCCCATATAGATGAGACATCTGTCTTGGTGACAACAGAATCATCATTAGCAAATATTACGACCAACAACACCATTACAACCAAAGGTAAGGATACAAAACGTTATTCTTACGTGGTGTTCTCTACTGGAGAAAAAAAAACACTGAAGCCATTTTATCACTGACTTCATAAACATTACTTTCACTATAATGGATTAAGACAATAAAACAACAACAACAGTAAAGAAGCAACTATGTATATATTTTTACTGACATGAGAAAGTTTTGTTAGCGGTGCAGTATAGGTCACTATTTAGTCCTCATATTTAGAATTCATTTATGGACTTATCTGGGTATACGGCACACCTACACTGTTAGTCAGGAAGGATTTACAGGGCAGATCAGATTTACAGGGCAGATTCATTTCATGCACTTGTCTATGAAATGCTTCACTGAAGTCATTATTGGAATAGGTAGTAAGCTCTCCCGATTCCCGTGTTTAAGTTTCACTGACGATTGGTGGATTACTAAAAGGGAAACACTCAGGTGCCACAGTGTTCAACAACTCGGAACAGGCACTGTTTACCATGGCATGCATCAATAAGCTGATACATGACCTGGCGCATTTGCACACAACGTTGCGCCTGAATTATAGAGTCAGTACTGAAGCAGGGTAATAATGCATGAACTTTAAGTCACATCATTAGCATCATTTCCAGCCTCTACATCTTTTATTTACTAAACAAAAACCTAACTAGAATACCTTGTTTGACCAGTTTACCTTGTTTACGATACTGCCTTTTCAGCTCAAAGTTTATCGCTATTTAAATTGCAGTGTATACATATATTTATTACCATGATAATTAAGTTGTGAGGTCATTGCGGGGTGTGCCTATGACTGGGAGTAGAAGTAAGTTTGCAAAAGGCAAATATTGACCTTCTGTCATTGCTAGGGAGCCTGCATGAGAAGGAGGCACGAAGGAAGGAGAGACGTTCCCCTTTGCTCATCTTCCTTGTGACCTGCCTCATCGTCGCTCTTCTGGTGGTGATGATCTTCTTTGGAATTAAGCTGCAGAAACAATGTGTCCTCTGGAAAAAAGGTGAGAAGCAATACACCCCAGTCCTGCGTTTCTCTCCAAGTTGAATTTGGAAAATAAGCTATCTGTGATTATGTTAACAAGCTATCCTAACTATTATTGCAGAAAACGAAGACACCGATCAGTCACTTGAGAGCAGTAAATCAAAATCAAGTCATGAAGAAAGGCAGTCCCAAGAAAGGAGAGGACATGGTATTTTTCCTTTTTCTTAAGTTGCACATTATGCCTCCACTTAATAGCTATATTCAAAGGAATATGTTAAACGAGGTCTCCCTTGTTCTTCGTCTCTTCTCAGGATTGCCTAACACGTACACAAAATACGTGGTTGGAGAAACTGCAGCAGAAGAATCGAACAGAAGAACTGCAGTAGAAGAATCGAGCAGAACTGCAGCAGAAGAATCGAAACTGCAACAGAAGAATCAAGAAAAAGAAGCTACGAAAGAATCGCTACAAGTTCCTAATGGCCACGCATCTGAAGTTCAGGTCACCGTGGAAACACACGAACCAGAAGCAATGTCTCAGATAAAGGAAACGGAACTATAAGCATCTTAACTATGAACAGGTTTAGCTTTTTATGCCGTTCACATTAGCTGTGAGGAAACTTTGCACATGAAGATTATGAATGCCATGCATTCGAAGATTTACTTCAGCCCTAGATAAGCAGTTATGGCAGATATGTTATTGAAATGAATGACAATATATTTATCTTACCGATTGTATTTTAATTGTAAATATTTTTATACCTAATTTAAATGTCACATTGTTAGCCTTTTCATTGTTTTAATTAAAAGCAAGAATTGTGTTTTGACGACTGGTTAATTTGTGTGCAACAACAACAACGCACTTTTTACACATATAAATATTAGAAAAGGTTTTAATATTCACACATAAAAAGTTGTTTCACTTGGCTCCGCTACGAAGGCGGCACGGCATGTCACAAAAGCAGGAAGTAAGCTATACGTTCTTCTAACAAAGCCTAGCAGTTTCTAGATCAATATAAGTTACTCAATCTTTGTCCTCCTGCGAAAAAATTGCCATGCAAGACAACTGACCAAAAAGCGAAAATAATAACTTGTTGATACTCCTGACAGCATATCAGTGAATGATTAATAAAATAGCTAAGTATTAAGTAGAATAAGAACACCGGTCTTGTTACAAGGCTTGTCTGGCATAACCAAGTTACATCATAACCATGACTTAAAACATATAAAACAGCTTACATAAATTAAGGATACAAAGCAATATTGGCCTTTTTCTGCATATTTCACCCACACTTTCAGATTTACACATAGATTAAATTTTACATTACATGTCTTAACTACTGGCAAGAGTTACTGATATAAGAAACCGGCCGGTAGTACCAGACAGTGTCACGTTTAAGGGAACGATAGCAGATTGCTATTAGCTATTGTGGCCTGCCAGTCAAACTTCTTGCATGTGATTGGTCCGACTGCCGGCTAGTAATTATATGCGTTCCAGAATATTCTTCGTCCTTTCCTTTATAAGTGTCGGTGTAAGGCTTTTTACCGAACGTCACTCACTAGCAGGGTTGAGAGGACCATAGTGATCGAATTCAGGTAGTAGCCTACGATCTTATGTCGCCGAAGTAACATTATAAAATAACTCTTTGTAATGTATAACCGTTAAAATGTATGTCAATATTTATTAATATTATAATGTTTGTTATATAAATATAATGGTTAGCTGGTAGGCACATTTGTTATTCACTAACTACGCCGGATAGTACCTAAGTGTCTTGGTTTTGTATTACCATATCACGTAGTATGACATAAGTAAAAGTAATTGTACCTTGCAGTGCCATGTAGTTTTTGATTGTTTTTCTTAGCTGTGAAAAATATAAAAGCACTATCCAGACTTCTTAAACCGTTGGATAACGTGGAAAGTAGTCTGCTGGTTTACAGTGGCTATTTTAGGTGGTCTACAATGTGGCTGGTGACTTAATCGGTTTCAGATAATCAGATAATATTCCGATATCCAGTAGGCCCGTTTTGTGTTGAGTTGAGGAAAATGAGCAGCGGTTCCATTTGAGTAATCTAGTATTAATAAATACTACAGATTTTAGTAATACTGTAGTAGTATTAATGGTAGCGGACCGCATGGCGTTCTGGCTTCTTTTTCCTTGCCGGTGGCAAGTTCCTGGTGGGTTATGTAACTGCGGCGCGGTGATAGTGGAGCTGTAGAATGTTCTGGAAATCCACGGCCGCCCCCGGGTTCCGGCTAACGCCCATTTTGACGCCCTCCGTATGTGAGATTGTCTCAGTGTGTACAATGCACCTATACGTGATGTGCATTTGGCTAAATCAGTAGTGTGTAGACCGAGCTAAAGCTGCCACTTTTTGCGTGCTGGACTAATGGACTGGAATTGGGGAAGAGTGGGAATAAAGCCGGTTTAATTACCGACGATGAATCTTGCGCAGCTGGTCAGGTCTGGAAGTCAGGCAGCGCGGAGGAGGGCTTATTAATGTGTAGGCAGGGCAGCTATGTGCGCGCTGCTGAAACGATTCTTTCCTTTCACAGTGGATTTAGTCTGCAGACACTGGAGAAACTATTCCTAAATTGTCGTTCTGACACCGTTAAACTATTCAAATACATTTGGTGTAGCCTAACCGTTCCCTCTTTCTTTTTTTTTAGGCAAAATGTCTAAGGGACTGGCCGTTGGTATTGATTTGGGAACAACCTACTCCTGTGTCGGAGTGTTCCAGCATGGCAAGGTTGAAATTATTGCCAATGACCAGGGCAACAGGACCACACCTAGCTATGTTGCATTCACCGACACTGAAAGGTTGATTGGTGATGCTGCGAAAAACCAGGTTGCCATGAATCCCACTAATACTGTGTTTGGTGAGTATGTTTGAAAGTGTGTGTGCGATTGCCATGCCCGATAATCTGACTTCTGAAATCTTACCAATAATTTATCTAATACTGTTATTTATGTTTCAGATGCCAAGAGGCTGATCGGACGCAGATTTGATGACCCTGTTGTACAGTCTGACATGAAGCACTGGCCATTCACGGTTATTAATGACTCTTCCCGTCCCAAAGTGCAAGTTGAATACAAGGGTGAAACAAAATCGTTCTACCCTGAGGAAGTTTCCTCTATGGTGTTAACAAAAATGAAGGAGATTGCTGAGGCTTACCTGGGAAAAGTGAGTTTGACATCTTTTTTATTTTGTTTCATGAATTCAACTTTGACCAAAATGTTCCCTTATGTATTTCCCAAGAATGAGGAAATCTAAAAGGTTAATCTTTGCTTACTGTTCCATGTTGGTGTGTATTTGCAACTAATTTAATGTGCCTTCTGCAGCCTGTTTCCAATGCCGTTATTACGGTGCCTGCCTATTTCAATGATTCCCAGCGTCAGGCTACAAAAGATGCCGGAACAATTTCTGGCCTGAATGTTCTGCGAATCATCAATGAGCCAACAGCTGCTGCTATTGCTTACGGTCTGGACAAGAAAGTAAGTTAATGGTTTAAGGGGAAACTGCTGACGTTTTGTGGTTTTAACCCGCATTGCTGAGTAATGATTTCATGTGTTGAGTGGAACATGAGTGTCTGGCAGTCCTGTATGGGCCTGAAATTAAAGCCTGTACCTGAGACATTGGGACTGAATCTGACCTGAAATTGTGGAGAAATTTGTCATGCGCATGCACAGACATCTGAGATTTCCCTGTATTACTTCCACTGCTTGTATATAAGAACCATACCAGGCCCATAACCTATTACTTTTTCCAGGTTTGTTAGGGTCAGGCCATTCCAAATGACTCTTGAATCTTAAAACCCTATTCAGATGGGATTCACTTTCCCTAGAGAGTTGGTGTGTAGTTTGATGTGGAACTGTTAACTTTGAACATTTACGGTCTAGCTGTTGCGTTAAATGTGATTTCATTTTGAGGTCTTGTTTGTACAAGTCTGAGTACAATCCTTATTGGCACTGATTCATAAATCATTAAAGGAGAATGGAGATCAGAAGGGCTCGATAAGGTGCATGTTAAGCATAAAATTGCAGCAACTTGTCCAGACTTGGGGATTCTTACCAATCTTGCCTGTATTTCTGTCCAAAAACTGCAGTGCATTGTGTAATGATCTGGAGATTTAAATGCATGTTTGCTCTTCTAGGTTGGTGCTGAAAGAAATGTGCTGATCTTCGATCTTGGGGGTGGCACTTTCGATGTATCCATCTTGACTATCGAGGATGGAATCTTTGAAGTGAAGTCCACTGCCGGAGACACCCACTTGGGTGGTGAAGACTTTGACAACCGCATGGTGAACCACTTTATTGCCGAGTTCAAGCGCAAGTACAAGAAAGACATCAGTGACAACAAGAGAGCTGTTCGCCGTCTCCGCACTGCCTGTGAAAGGGCAAAGCGCACCCTCTCCTCCAGCACTCAGGCCAGTATTGAGATCGACTCCCTGTACGAGGGCATCGATTTCTACACCTCCATTACCAGAGCTCGCTTTGAAGAGCTGAATGCCGACCTGTTCCGTGGCACCCTGGACCCAGTGGAGAAGTCCCTTCGTGATGCCAAGCTGGACAAGTCCCAGATCCATGACATTGTCCTGGTTGGAGGTTCTACTCGTATCCCGAAGATCCAGAAGCTGCTGCAAGACTTTTTCAATGGAAAAGAACTGAACAAGAGCATCAACCCCGATGAGGCAGTTGCCTATGGTGCAGGTAATGACCTTTCAGTATCTGAATTTGCTTTTAATGAAATCGCCGTGATGAAGCAGATTCCTAAAGTCATTCGTAGTTTCCACCAGAGGTTGAATAACCAAAGATGGCACAAAATCTTCCTTGGATGTCTGAGCGAATGCTTTTTGCTTGTTTTGGATTTTGCTCTTCTGGCAAATGTCTGAATCCCATTCCCTGTCTCCACAGCTGTCCAGGCTGCTATCCTGTCTGGTGACAAGTCTGAGAATGTTCAGGATCTGTTGCTACTAGATGTCACCCCTCTGTCCCTGGGAATTGAGACTGCGGGTGGTGTCATGACTGTTCTGATCAAGCGTAACACCACCATTCCAACCAAGCAAACTCAGACATTTACTACGTACTCTGACAACCAGCCTGGAGTGCTTATCCAGGTAAGTCGTGCAGGGGGTCTTTGGGGTCTCTGGTTTTTCCCTTTTCTCGCTGTGATGAAGCAGATTCCTAAAGTCATTCGTAGTTTCCACCAGAGGTTGAATAACCAAAGATGGCACAAAATCTTCCTTGGATGTCTGAGCGAGTGCTTGCAATATTATACGTGAATCCATTTCTACTGGAAGCAGTGGTGCACTGGGTTGCAACTAAACTGGCTCATTCTCCACAGGTCTATGAAGGTGAGCGAGCCATGACCAAGGACAACAACTTGCTGGGCAAGTTTGAGCTGACTGGAATCCCTCCTGCACCACGTGGTGTTCCCCAGATTGAAGTCACCTTTGACATTGATGCTAATGGAATCATGAATGTCTCTGCTGTTGACAAAAGCACTGGAAAGGAGAACAAGATCACCATCACTAATGATAAAGGTAGGGTTTGAAGGTATAGCGTAGCTAAACTTGGTCTTACACTTTGGTGGTCAACTGACAATGTCACTCTTACTAGGTCGTCTTAGCAAGGAGGACATTGAGCGCATGGTCCAGGAAGCTGAGAGGTATAAGGCAGAGGATGATGTCCAGCGTGACAAGGTGTCCGCTAAGAATGGCCTTGAGTCTTATGCCTTCAATATGAAGTCTACAGTAGAGGATGAGAAACTGAAGGGTAAAATCAGTGATGAGGACAAACAGAAACTGTTGGAAAAGTGCAATGAAGTCATTAACTGGCTTGACAAAAACCAGGTGGGTGCTTGTTTGTACTTGAGATGTTTTGCAAAACTCAGAATGATTGCCTTCAAGCTAAATGTTTTCCAATTAACCAATTCTCCCTGCAGACTGCTGAGAGAGATGAATATGAGCATCAACAGAAAGAGCTGGAGAAGGTGTGCAATCCCATCATCACCAAGCTGTACCAGAGTGCTGGAGGCATGCCAGGGGGGATGCCTGATGGTATGCCAGGGGGCTTCCCAGGAGCAGGCGCTGCTCCTGGAGGTGGTGGATCTTCTGGACCAACCATTGAGGAAGTTGATTAAACATTTGATGTCGGGTTTTTTTTTTTTTTTGTTTTGTTTTGCTACCTCTGTTTATGGTAGCTTTTCCATTCTGGCATACGTTGACAGCACTTATGTTGAAGTATCATTGTCAGATTGTTTGTTTGTTTCATGTTATGGTGGTTAATGTTTTACAAATGACTGCTATAGCAGGTGGGGGAGGAGGGAGGATTAACAGGGAACAATAGCTTTTCTTAACTTTCTGTGGTCAGTTTGCAATGGTTGTAAGGGGTCCTTTTTCCCTCCTTGACAAATGTCTGGCTTTTAGCCCTGTCACAATGTCAGAAAGTTGCCTGTTTCCAAAATAAAATGTTCATGTTGAATGGCTATCCATTGTTTTGTTGTACATTGGAAATAAATGCACTTTAACCAGTTTGTGAAGTTCAGCTGGTGAAGAATCAGCAGGATTTAACAAGTAGTTTAATATGTGGAATAAATACACAACACTTGCTTCTAATGTAATGTAAATATTCCCTTATCACTATACAAAATTCCTTTTAACTGTGGGTCCTAGACCCCATAAGGGTCTAATTCTGAGTGCAAGCTAATGCTGTATTGTAGAATTACGCAAGTTTTCGCAAATACTTGTCAGGGAACTCTGATAAACATTCTATTTAAGGATTTTGAAATGGTGAGGAAATACTAGTACCTTTTGTTTTTTTAAATGACTGAATATTTCTGAATTCTATTACCTAAAGCTAGAGCTTTGTAAATAGGGAGCTGCATCAGTGGAAGTACAGGGCACCCTGGATATTACGGAGAGGAGTTGTAGTGCGCAACTTTGTGGTAACTCCAGTCTGCACCTGCAACTGAGGAGGAGGCCTCTCAGGGCAGATAATGAGGCATTTGTTAGACAAATCTGTGAGCAGGTGACACACCATCTGTGGTCTAGTGACCCACGTCCTGCTTACAGAGGAATCAAAGCATTATTCACACCTGAATCTGTTCAGTCAGGGCAGGTGATGGAATGAATCTTATGGATGACACCAGTTGTGATTCACTGGTCCAGCTACTTTGAGCGGTTGTTTACTGCTGAGGACATTGGACATCTCTGGGTCTGATCCTCCAATCAGCTGTGAACCTCCCAATCTCACTGAGATTGCACAGGTGGTGAATCAGCTGTGGGTAGGGAAGGCCGCAGGGACCTGTGGTATCCAGGGTGAACTCCCCCAGGCTGGTGGTAAGGCTGTCCTCCTGGCATTGTATTCCTTTTTTCCTTTGGCAATCTTTGCTTCCATTTGGGAGTCGGGCATCAACTGGAATGGGAAGGGTGATTGGGGCAACTATAAGGGGAAAACGCTGCTCTCAGTACTGGGTAAGGTCCTTGCTGGGCTCATCCTTAACAGGATCCGCGATCACTTGCTCACTTGTCAGTGACCAGAGAAGTCTAGTTTTACACCTAAGAAGGCTACCATTGACCACATCCTGGCACTGAGGGTTCTCATCGAGCGCAAGCACGAATATCGGCAGAGGTTCTTTGCAGGCCTTGTCAAATTTTCTTAGTGTTTGACTCAGTTGATTGAGTTGCCCTGTGGGACACCCTGAGACTTTGTGGGATCCCTCCAAAGTTGATGGACGTCATGGCCGGCCTGTACACTGGTACTGTGAGCGTTGTGCTTAATGGACGGAGAACTTCCTCTTTCCTCCCAGTTGATTCTGGGGTGCGCCAGGAGTGTATTCTTGCTCCTACTCTGTTCAATGCTTATATGGACTGGATGTTGGGCAGGGTTGTAGGGTCCAGCAGCTGTGGGGCATCTGTTGGTGAAGAAAGATTTACTGATCTTGACTTTGCCGACAATGCTGTGATCTTCACAGAGTCAGCGGAGGCTCTGATTGGGGCTCTTGAGAGACTAAGCGAGGAATCTTAGTGTCTGGGATTCAATTACCTTTGCAGGGACATTCATGTCTCTGGTGACTCTTCCTATGAAGTCAGCAGACAGACTGGGAGAGCATGGGGGGTCATGAGGTCGCTGGAAAGGGATGTGTGGCACTCCCAGTATCTCTGATAGAGGACAACGCTCCAAGACTTTAGAGTCCTGGTGCTCCAAGTTTTGCTGTATGGCTGTGAGACATGGACGCTGTCCAGTGAGCTGAGATGAAGACTGGACTCCTTCGATACTGTGTCTCTTCAGAGAATCCTTGGGTACCACTGGTTTGACTTTGTGTCGAACAAGCAGTTTGTTAGAGGAGTCCCGAACGAGGCAGACCTAAATAGTCTTAATGACTTAATCACTAATAAACTCAAACATGAATAGCATGCTGCTTCGTGCCCTTTCCTCCATGTTGTCCTTGCATATAGTCTCCACATGGTTTAACATGCTGCATGGGCAAGGGCGTCAGAAGCATTTTAAATGTGGGGGGGACACACTTGCATAAGACTAATATTTTATGTTAAATGTGTGTGTGTGTGTGTGTGTGTGTGTGGGGGGGGGGGGGTCCAAACGAATAATTATGGAATGTGAGGGGGACACGTACGTCCCCCTCAGATTTAATGGCGACGACGCCCATGTGCACGGGGATGCTCCAATTACTAAACAGAGAAGAGTACAAATGTACGGTTTTCCGAGTGACATGGAGAAAGATAAAATCGTAATCTCGGGTAAGCAGGAGGAATCTGTCACTGAAGATTGCAAAAAACGTAAGGTAATCATATCCGAACACTGCATTTACACATTTTCAGAAAGACCACACCGTTGGGAACCTTAATATTTGGTTTATTAAAAATAAACAACAGGGAGTTGAGATCACACGCTCCAATATTACGTATATTTAACATTTTAAGTTACTATCGCAATCTTTCAAAAAACACGTTCACATTTTTCTCTAATTGGATGAAGTAGTATTAAGAGAACGGAATTTACAATTAATAGGTTGTACACAAGCAAAAGTACATCGGAGGCGATTAAAAGCAAAACACCGGGGGTCTCAGATCGACTGACTGCCCAACACACCAGGTCATGCTAACATTATACAGTGCAAACAAAATAATCGTGCTTCTGTAAATGTAAAGTGTAAACTGTGTTCAGCAAAATCCAAAACATTATCTAAATAAATGCACTGATGAATATCTGCCCATGCAATAAAGGGCACCTGCAAGCCCCCAGACGAAGCACTTTATTCACGCTCAGTCCGCGAGAAGTTCCGTTAGTTCCGGGTGACTCGTCGATGCCTCCATGGCAACGATGCTGTTTACCAGTCTTGAAATGGGTGAGTGTCTTTGTCGCAACAAAAATTTAAATTAAACTTAAACTATTCAGTCTGTTTGTACGACTTAGTTACTTTGTTTTTGGTGGTGTTGTTTAACATTTCTGGTGCACATTTAATTCTAAAGAAATAACGTAACTTAAGTTCAATAAACGTCAAGAAAATTACCTGAACGTCCTAACTAGCTAATCACTGTCCGCTGGAGATTTTTATTTTTTGTAAATGCTTTAACCTAAATGCTGTGAAATCGATAGTGGTCTCTTGTAGTCATTTTTAGCCAACTATCTTGTAACCCATTCATTTGCGTAGAAATTAATGGTGCCAACGAATCTGTTACTGAAGCTCACCAGCTCCACTTAAATACATCTATAAATGCAATACGAAACGTCTTATGACACTTAATCTTGTTTTTAAAAGTTAGCTGCAACAACAAAATTGAATTTTATTTCTTAATTGAATTACCACAATTGAACATGGGTGTAACCAACAACATTCCAAAAGCATAACTGTTTCTGTGTGTTATTCTTAATTAATTAATTAATTTTTATCTAAAGTAAAAAATAAATCAAGTGAAAATGTCACGGGTTGTATCCAACTGAGAAGTTCACATGAAAATATCCTACTTATAAAATATAAAAAGTCTTTCCCAAGCTAAAATAATAACCAGTGGGGCCTTCTTCCGCTTTTTCCTCTTCTTCTTCTTCTTCTTCTTCTTCTTCTTCTTCACTAGATAATGGGGAAAATCTCTGGGACTCCCTGGAATCAGATACTGAGAGCCTTGCCCAGGAGAAGCAAAGACGGAAATTTCAGAATGATAGAATTCAGGGTCTAGATGTGGAGGAGAACCTCATCTGCACACAGCAAGCTGGTGATGGTGGCGATGGGGAGGAAGAAGATGAGGACGATGACTATATATATGATAGCCTAGATATGGCAGTTAGGAAGGACAACAATGCTGCAATCCATCAGGTACAGCAGACAGAAGGTGGTAATGAAAGGTAAATGAGTATTCTTCATTCTTTGCAACTTTTGTTTACATATTATGCCATTGTAAGTATGTCAGGTCTGGACTTTGGGGTCCCCCACGGCCCCACGATGCATTTCTCTGACTGGATGGGGGAGGGGGGGCAGTATAACCCAGGTATGCCAGATGGCCAGTCCAGCCCTACGTACTACATTTATGCTCTGCTAAGACGCTTAAAAGAAAATTACTTGTATAAATTGTCAGTAGGTGGCAGTATTTCGCTGCAAGATATTCCAGTGGCTCAGTGGTTTGCACCTTCTTCAAGGTTGTGGGTTCCATTCCCAAACTTAGTTTTGTGGTTCTGGTTCTTTTACACAGAGAAAAAGCTTATGGTTATGAAAATCAGTGACACTACATGAACAACAGTGTGTGATTGTGTATATGGAGTGTGTGCTGCATCACCGCTTGCTATCCCATATCAAGCATTTCATGCCTCGTGCCTGGTATTATTTGGGATATTATGTATGGTCACTAAAATATTGGTTTGGGGAAAATGCATAAATGGAATTGTCACAATCAATCCATTTGAAATGTCTATCCAGTTTAGGGTCCGTGTGAACCAGAGTCATTGCAAGGCAGGGGCAAGAGGAATGACAGTAATATACGTGACATCAATCCCATTAGGCATATGTGACAGTGTAAAATGGTGCCTACAATAAAACGACGTCCACCGTAGTAATTCTTTTCTTTGTGCAGTATTTTTCAGTGATTTAAAGTACATCAGTATTTTATCTGGTTTTATGTTTCTAATGCTTGCAGAAGAAATTGCTTTTATAACGGTTGCTATAACAGCCCAATGTTAGCCCGCTCAACATTTTATTCCTTTGTTATTTATTTCTCATGAAAAACAACTTGCGAGGAAATCAAACTAACAGTGTCACTTTTCATGTTCTGTTAACTTGAGAATTGAATATAATTTCCATTTAAGGTATATAATTTGGGTTAATAACATGGTGCTTTTGAGAAATTAATTATGGAGTACTTTTTCCAATACAAACAAGTCTGCTTTGTTACAAAATAGCAAATGAAACATAAATGACTAATAGCTATTCTTTGCTTTTTCTGAAATGAAAAGGTAGTGATGATAGAATATGTTCTAATGTCCAACACAATGGCCTGAAGTAGTCCTCTAATTTTGTAATTTTGTCGTAACTGCTGTCATTTAATGGAAATTAGGTTGTATTTTGTTTGGGGGTTATCACAATTTGCACTTGCTGAGTAGTCCGTTAATGAGCCCCGAATCTTATTGCATATTCATGGCAAGACCCCCCACTAGAGTCGCAGACCTAAAAATTTGAAGTGTGGAACCCCACGTCTGTTTTTCACGTCTGTCATGTCCACATTGTCCTCACGGTATTTATTACCTAAAGAAGAATGGCCGTTCACTTTATTTTGTCGGGTTTGTTTTGTACGCACGGCTAGAAAACGCTATGGAGTGGCTCTCCATGCACGTTCTGGTACAGCGGCCACGGCAAGCACTAACAAAAGGTCTGTTTGTGTGTTTTGCCACATGGCAGCTCCCCGTATTCTTCATCGCTTCGCAATTGAGTTGAACTCTCGTCACCTTTCATTGTGACACAGTCAGACATTGTCCATGAAATGCTGTCATTCTTGAGGGTATCATACATAAGGAGATCCGAGACTTACCATCCGAGCTTTTATGTCCTGATCCATTTTAATATGAGGATGCATTTTTACTAATTTTAAATGTGTAGTAAATTCTGCAACAGATCAGTCATTTGAGTACTTGCTGTGGTAGGATATCGCATCTAAGCTTAATAATCAGTCGTTTTTTTGGCATACTGAAGACTTTTCCCAGCTGTATGTCAATAATGCATTCTCAAGCTTATTTGAGTTCGGTCATTACAAACCTTTTCCTTACCCTTTCACCATCATCGACTGAAGTGCTTTGCACCGAGACAGTTCTGCAAATGGCATCATAAAATGAGAAGGAGGTCTCATAGTATTCAGAGCAGCACAACAAAGAAGCACTCTGCTAATTATTTTAATGAGATCTATTCATTGATGTTAGAAGGAGCACATTAGGTAGCAATTTCCATTCAGATATATCAGTGCTTTAATTCCATTTCATTAGATGAAAATTGCCAATTTCAGAACTTATCTCTGTATAGTACTCCTTACACACTACCTCAGACTATTAGGGATTAAAGGGGATATATATAGATACCTAGAAGGACTTTTTTCCTTTTGTGAATTTCTTAGGCCATGTCTTGTTTGTGTGTGTTTTTAATAAGGTGAATGGAAATATAAACAAATTAGTGATATAATTCAGAGGTGTATTTTCCATTATATAACATCTTCTGATCTCCTGCTTTTTAAACTTCAGACAGAACAATCTCAAAGACGAATATGCAGATCTGAGATATGACCCCAACTGGAGGACCAACTTCGGGGGAGCTGAGTTCTTTGAAGAGGGGAACCAGCATTTTCTGTTGGGAAAGGAATCTCATCTGGGCGAGGTGTCTGAAGGAGAGCCTTGGGAGATGAGAAAAAGTGTCAGGACGGTAGAGAAGAAAGGTATGTCTATCAGTGGACGTGTTCCCATAGTGGCCTTCAAGACTGAGAAGGCAGGAGAATCTTTGTCAGCCAAATCAAAGATTCCCACAACTCCTTACCATCTTCTGGAGCAACAGTGCTTAGGGACTCAACCAAAACTGCTGTCACCTGGACACCAATGGTTTTCTGAAACTTTGGACCAAGAAATCAGTGACTGCAACAGCGGCAGCTGGTATCTTGTAAAAAACCAAAAGCCTTCGGATGCAGAACAGGTTTATTTCTCTAAACCACATGTGACTGTTGAAAACAGTAATGAAGGACGTCCAGGGAGGTACGAATCCTGTAAACAAAACTGTACACAAACCAGCGAGAGAACCAAGATGATGAGGAACGGCATTCTACCCAATCTTAAGCACTCCCAACAGTCATCGACTATGAAGGAACCAGCAGCAAAGCAGGACATTGTGGAGAAGAACAAGAGGACCCTGGGGGTCAGTGCAGCCCAGCAGGGGTCGTATCTTTGGACACACAAGCAAAGAGGAGGGAAGGGTTATGACAAGCAGGTATGTGGTGATTTAAAAATGTATTATTTCATGTTTGTTATAAAAGGTTATAGGGGAAGCAGACATTTCTACAGTGCAGTTTATTGCCTGAACTACCATTACATGCTCATAGTATCAAATCCTCCCACTTGAGGGGAGAAAGAATGCAGTAAAGCCTGCGATATGGTTGTAATATGATTATTTGCCACTAGAGGACACACAAACATTGTGGAAATGTACAGCTTGTGAAAAGGGAAGGTTTTGTGTGAGGGGAAAACCACAACCATGAAAATTGTGAATATTTTTCACTAAATATACAATATTTATAGCTGACATTATCAATTTAAAATATTTAGAAAAAATACAATAAATCAGACATTCCTCTGGTTTCTTTCTGCTGTCTGAAGACATGCAGTTAGTTGAATTATGTGCTTTTTGAGATGGACCATACTGGATGGATCAAGATGAATAGATGGACAGTTATCGCACGCAAAAATACAAATAACATGAGAACAGGATTTTTTTGTGCCGGTTTTAATGAAAAGCATAACTGTAACTGCATGCAACATTGGGACTATAATCTTCATGTTAATATGTTACCATTGGTCATGCAAGTGAAATTCGAAACTATATTGTTATAAGCGAGTCACAGGTTAAATGCGTAGTAAATAATTTGCGATTGACATTTAAAATGTAAAGAGAAATATTTATTCCAATAAGATAACAGACATTGCTTCCATAGGGCAAAAAGTCAATTTCATATTAATAATTATTATTCATTCATTCATTTTCCACATCTCCTTAAGATGAAATATTGCAGCTTCCATCGCGTTCATGTATAATACATACATGAAAAATATATGGGTCACAGTGATCCAGAGTAGCAGCGCAGTTTATATGGCAGGTACACACTGGGATGCAGGTACACACTGGGAGGCAGGTACACACTGGGATGTAATTTCATCATGGCCAACAGATTTCAGATAATCACTTCACCCAATTTCTGTTTTTTTTGTGCCATGGAAGAAAACCAAAATACGTGACAGAAAACCGTAAATCATTGTAGCCATATGCAAATACCACAACCGAATGAGTGATTCTGTTAAAAATCTGTACCGTAGTCGAGATGCCGCCTTGGGTATTTGAGACATAATAGTGTTCAGCTTGGGCTCCTGGCCAATATTGTGGCATCCCTTCATTACTGTTACTCAGTGTCTGCTACATTAGCGGAAATGCTGGGTGTACTTGCACATCTGATTGAGGTGTGATGTTGGTTGAGGTACCAGGGCGCTCGAGAGACACAGACTCTCAATATCAGCATGTGCCTCAGGGCCAAGACTGTGTCTTATTCTAACCCAGTGAAGGTAACAGCCGGATTTATTTTGAACCTGAATATTGTACCACTTCATTTTAATTGGTTCACACTGGAGCAAAGGTACAAGTAGCATGCCCAGAGTAGAGCTGGGAAATTAATTTGGCAGGGAAAAGCACTTTTCAATTGCAGCCTGCAGTGGAAAGTGAACAGAAAATATGCCTGGCTATGTAGTGCCTATTATGACTTGATTCATATAACAGTAGCTATTAAGGACATCACAGAAGCACGGTCACCAATAGCCTCTTATGTACCTTGTGCACCTGGCACAGGGGTATAATTGACTATGGCTGTCTATCTGTACATCGTAGCATGCGTATCCTCACTGCATTGACCAGACCTGCCAGCCCATCTGAGCCCATTCGCATCGCGCAGTCTCGTATCATCGCCATTTGCATATTCAAGTGTCGTTAACATTGTGCTGCTCCTCACACAACCCCCCTGACCCCCCAGTCTGCCCGTGTTGTCATCTTTGATTGGTTTGGCTGCTGTTGTTTTTGAGGATACATTTCCAATGACTTGAATGGGCTGAATGAACCCTCAGGTCATCCGTTTGTAGCAAAATATTTTTCATAGATTAACTCGAAAGAATTAGAGTTGCATCATTAAAACAATCAGACCTGTCCCTATATCAAACCTAATATATTACTGTAACCCAGTCAATATGTTTTAGATTCTAGGACTTCTGCTATAATGTTATGTTACAGTGTATTCTGATTTAGAAAATGCTAATAACACAATACACCTTTAGGCCATTGTAAATAATGCATTTATTTCCCTGGAGATTACAGTTACTTCACAAAAAAACATGTATCTTACTTCAAAATGTCATAGATTAAGTGATTTGTTTATACTCAGTTAGATTTTGGATGGATGTTTCTAGTAATGATCATGAATTGCATTTACTATTAAATTAAAAATAGACATTTTCTTTTTCTCCGGTCTGATTTTGTGTGCAAATATCTCTTTATATCAGTATGATGGAGATTTCTTTGTCTCCTTCTAAGAGGAGAAATAGATACTGGCCATAATCACATCACTTTCACAGACATCATCTGAGCACTGCTAAGTGTGCTATTAGAGCCTTTTAAAAGGCCCTATTTGGTCTTTTACAGGGGTCTCTGAGATCATTTACTGCTGATAATTAGAGATGTTATTAAACGTACACAATCTCGTAATGCCGCAACTTTTTGCCAGGCGAGCATCGGAGTCAGGATGGGATACAACCGAGTGCCTTTGATAAAAACAGAAGTAGAAGAGCAATCTTCCGCCATCGCACTCGGCCCCAGTCCCTCGCTTTTCCTCGGGCCCTCACTTCAAAGCTAGGAACAAAATGTACAATCTCTTAATAGCTCCAGACCAAGGCTTGGGGGCTCTCTTCTACTGTATGCCATACCTCAGTGTAAACACCTAATCAAGATTGCCCTGGCGGCCACAATAGCAACCAAATGCAATTCAAGATCCGCGGGTCTTTGATGTCTTCATTGCAAAGCTGTGTTTCCGAGTCTCGGGGAAAATGACATGCCGCAATTGCTGCCTTTGTTGTGGCTCGTCCGCAGCGAACCAATTACAGGCCTCAATTTAACAGAATAGGTATTACACAGCTTACGATGCTCAAAATGCAATTTTGCTTGATCATTTTCCCAATTTGATTGGGACTATTAAAATGGTTGACAAAAGGCAGGGGGCGGGAACGTAAGCAGGGGTTGTGACCCATCTCTCCACTGAAGCGGTAATGAGAGGGTTTGCAGCGGCCGGTCCTGGAGCCATTGACACCTGTTAGAGCGCACAGGCCGTGCAGCCGATGGACAGGGAAGCTCCGAGGTTAGCACTGGGCAATGGCTGAGAGTAGCATGTGGCCTCCTGTACCTCAGGGGTCTCTGCCAGACCCCCAGTAGCTACAGCGTATCACACTTGCCCCGGTCGCAGCTGTACATCTTCGGAGTCAAGGGTCAAGACTATGGCGAATTCTGATGGACGTTTAGATCAACATGCAGTTTCTAGCCACAGTTGTGGTATTTAAAAACATAGCCGTATATCCTTTTATTCTCAGTCGAAACGCTCTTCACACAGAAGAGTCTTGCCACAGACACGTTTTTCCGTGTGCAGGCAGGTTGACGATCCCTGTTCAGAGCTTCTCGAATGAAAGGAGAGTTGCGGGAATTATTTCACAAACGTGACCCACCCCATGTGATCAGGAACATTTAGCTGGAATGTCACCCTATGGATACTAGATGATTTTGTTGGGTGAAGTTCTTACTAAGAGAAACAGCATGAATGGTCTGAATGTTGCATCAGTGCAAATTGTCCTTTCTCCTTTCTCGCAGTAAGAGAGGACTCCCCATTTGTTTAATGTTTTCTGACCAGACTTTTGTGATCCACTCCAGCTTTAAGCAGTCACTAAGCCTGCCTCGTGCAATAAGTGCTATCATCATCTGTCTATGAGTCTCGCCCCGATTGTCAAAGCTAAACAATATGATTCATTCCCTGCTTACCTGCCCTTTCAGTAAATAGATAGATCAGCATGGTGGTGCATTTATTGATGGATATATTACAACTCAATCCACTCACTAGAGCAAGAATTTCTGTGACCTTATTCGGGCTGTTCGGCCTTTTAGAATTAGGAGCGATCAATAAGGGACCCTTCAAACCATCAATACCATCGATCAAGCCAGGATTGTCCTTAGCTACCAAGAAGACATGAAGTTAACTAAGTGATTTTCATTATGGCATTAGGGACAAATGTTTTCTCTGATCTGTTGCATTAACAAAAATCAGACATGGAAACGTAACAAATATTTTTCAAAATGAAAAACAAAAAAAAAGAGTGAGATGTGTCACACAAAAGAGTGAGAGAGTAAAGTTTCTGGCACATTCAGAGACACGGGATGCACTTTGGCCACTTTAACCAAGTTGTTTAGAGCAGAATCTCTGCAGACTGATAAAAGAGGCTGCTTGAACCACATTTAAAATTGACAAAAATGTTAATAGTAGTGCTTTAGTTCGTAGAATTTTATTTTTACGGAACATTTTAAGTTATATTCCAATTTTAATTTGTGTTAATTAGTTTTAATTGATAAAATTAAAAGGTGCTTTACCTTCTTTGACACTAGTTTCAGTGTTTTGATTATATTTATCATAACTATTTTATTTGAATAATTATGATAGTTAATTATAAGCATATAATTTTGGCCACCTGTTTTTTGTATATTCTGTATCTGTCATCCAGAAGGTATCAGAACCTGCTGAAGACGTTTCCAGTATTGCCAGTCAGGGGAGCAGAGGAAATGTCATTGACGCTGAACACAGGTGGCAACAGCAAGCCCAGGAGCTGAAGGTAAACTATCTCACCCTTATCCCATTTATCGATTTGTGCATTTTAGCCACGCGTGTTTTTCTGCGGAGCACTTAGCCAGGCCTCGAGGCGGCGGGCCGCGTCTCCCAACGAACATTTCCACGCATGAGGCGGACTGTCACCCGGGAATTCATTCTCTCACTGGTGGAGGTGGCTGCAGACCCAATTTCTGCCAGAGTTGTTGAGGCACAATGGAGCCCGTGAAATGTCTGAAAAGGGGACTCTGTGGCCCCGTGTGGAATGAAGAAGCATCATTATTTGGAGCACTTGAGCGGTCGGCCTAATGCTGCCAGGGAGAGGAGTGTAAATATTTTCCCATTAAGATGGTGAAAGCTGGTGTTTGTCAAATCAGGGGTATTAGATGCTGCAGCACAGCCACCAAGCTCGCCCGAATGTTTTTGTGATCACTCCGTGCGCGGCACCCGCCGGGAGAAAAAGAAAGAGATGCGTAAGAGGAGTAATATAAAAATTATTTAAATCTACCCGCACTCCAGGCCCATAATGACGGCGAGAGATGCATTAAGATGACAGTTGTGAGAGGAAATAGTTTGTCGTAATTGACCGGGATCTTCCAGCTGCTGTCCTCACAGATGCGGATTTCAGGAGAGTATGGGATTTCGCCGTGGCTCTGCTTTTAAGATTTTGAGCTCCGTCTGCCCCCGGAGTTTCCATTACTTTTGCTGGCCGCATTTCAGACAGAATGTATCTTATGTTTCTCATGTCAGTGATGTCAGCTCTTCATGGGTCTTCGAAGGACTGTTTTTAATTTTATTACTTTATTATGTGTTTTATTATGAGGAATCATTCATTCATATTTCATCCATCCATCCACCTACCATGGCCAGGGTCACGGAAGTCTTCAGAGATGTTTTTTTTAACTGCTTAATGTCATGATACTATTATTATTAACTTGTGTTAACAATTTATGACAGAACTAATATAGCCATAGCACCTTTCTTTTCAGTGTTTCAACAACAAAAATGTCCTGAAGTCCGAAAGACAGGCCCATAGTGGCCGGCCAGAGAAAGTAGGTGTTCTAAGACCCCCAGCAGTTGGGGACAGGCAGAACGTACATGACGGTCCAGAGTCCTCCGGCCCTGGCCATATTCCCACGACCCGAGAGCACTCCCAAGGCCATGCAGAGGTTCTGGTCATTGATGACGGGGATTCCAGCAGCATGTCGGGTGTTTCCTGGCTCTCCACACCACCGGTAGACAGGAGGATTCCCAGCATCAATCGGAACGTTGGCCTCAAGGTGCCTGCTGATGTCATGCCATTCCTAAACCACGGTCCCCCGCAGGCTGGTACTGGCCCCTTTATCCCTTGGGGCCCCACTTGGGCCCCTCCCTGGGCGGACGGTCCGGGCATCTATCACCTGCATCTGGTGAACGCACGTTTTGCTGACCAGCCAAGCTCTCCTCAGATGGTTCCTCACTATACCCCCAAACTACTAGCTCATTCTTCACGTGCAACGCTGCCACCACCTGCTCCCACCCTTGACCGAGCTTCCGTCCAGCACAGGTTGGGAAGGCATTTTCCACATCAGGACAGTGGTGGAACTGAACACTGTGGAACAGTATTGTTTGTGAATCAAGATGCTTCCGCTGCCAAGAAGACAGATCTCAGCAGGGCAAGGTCAGCTACGTATTTAAATCGCTCATCTTAAGAGAAGCAACATTTTTAGACAAATGGGCTGAAAAAATCACAAAAATTAATAAGTGTAGACAGCTGTGCTATGTTGTTTCTTTTACAGGATATTGCCCACAAAGCAGTCAGTCACTCAGGAAAGCCGTCAAGATGACCCAGGAGATCAGTATACCACTCTTCAATATGAACGGAACTGTGGGCCCAACACCAGACACACACCTGCGGACACAGGGCCCTACCTGGTGCTGCCCCCTATAGGACAGCCAGCAGGGGGCGACTCTGAGCACTTTAACACAATACGCAGGAGTAGCTCTGAGGGCTACCTTGCACAGATGGAGAAACAAAAGAAACTGAAAGAAAGAATGGGATACAAGGTATGACACTGTGCGTGAGTGTATGTAGAGATGTTGGTATAAAACAAAATGCTAATATTCCATAGTTAAGTGCCATAACTATGTGCTAGTATCTCGTTAGTACTCTGTATATAATCCCCTAAATAATCTTTATATCTAAAATGACCAGTGCACAATATGGCTTGATAATAACTAATAATAAAATGTGTACTAATTAAAAGGTGTACTAATAACTAATGACTAATTCACCATTCTGTTTGGGCCACACTGAATATTTACCTACCATTCAAGAGCGTAATGAAATATGCAGTAATAAATAGTAATAAGACACCTAGCTTTAGCGGGAAGTAATGTTCGCTAATTAAGTCCTTTACGATTAATGAGAGGCTTTTAGCACCAGTGTGCTTGTTAAGCTAGTATCTTATGTGGGATAATATGCCTAATTGCGGAGAGATGATGACCGGAGACAAAAAGATGCAAACCAGGGCGATCAGAGAGAAGCTCTTTTTTTCAGGTTGTGGCCTCAAAAGAGACCAGTTTGCACTATTTGTTGTGCTGTTATATGCTGTCCTTTAATCCAATGGAGTGGAACTGAATCTGATACAAGTTGTTCTGTTTTACAATGTAATAGCCGGTGTAGAGATGGAAGGATGTTACTTTAATGTTTCAGGTCTGAGTGGCCTTCATGTCCAAAGTGGCTCGCAAATCTGCCGTTTTGACTTTTGGCCGCGTCTTTCCGCCGCCATGGGACATCGATAATTTGTGAAGCTCCCATAAACGACTCCGCACTCCGCTCTGGACCCCGTTAATCCCAGCCGCTCCAGTGAAATCTGCTGGCGCCACGTCCGCGCGGTGGAGGAGCCGAGAGGAACGGGCGTCTGCGGCGAAATGCCGAGGGGTTTGCGTCTGACAAGACTTAGGGATGAATTTGTTAAGACGTGCTGCGATCGGAGCCCGGAGCAGGAGAGAGAAACAAAAGAAAAGCAAATCCTTCAGTGTCCATGACCAATGGGTGTCCATGACCAATGGGTAATTTGGAAACGTGGGACCAGTCTGATCTGGAATGATTAGCCCCCTTTGTCTGGGCCAGCATGTGTGCTGAGGCCTGAGTGCACCTCAGACCAGGCCCTGTGGATTAACTTCTTACCACTGAGCAGCACGGAGCTCCATCCTGTCAGCTTGTGTGTCTCCTCCTAATGCCACTTGTGCAACAGAGCACCACTCAACCCACCAAGGTTTTATTGTAAGAAACCGTTTGCGGAGCACACGCGCCGGTACCATTAAAATACGAGCCCGTCTTGTGCATATCCTTGGGGGTGGTGGTGCATTGCTAACGTGGTGCATTTTCACAGGCCTATACTCTGAAAGACTATAAAAGCCTCCAGAAGGATATTAATCTTGGAGGACTGGGACCGAATTATAAATTAGCAGAAATTACAGTAAGTTTTTTTTTATGTTATATCTAGAGAAGTACATCTGTGTTGTTTAATTGTAAAAAGTCATGTTCAGTGACTTGCATGCGCGCATATCCCCTGATACCCCCTTAAACAGTTTCTTTCCCTTTGTTTTGCTTTGTTTGGGAGTTGCGATGGCGCTGCTCTCCGCCCTTTCATGGGACGTGGCACCGTTGCTTAGACCCCTTTCCATAATCCTCAACCTCTCCCCTTCCATCACTGCCAGGTGGAGAAAATGCAACGACAGAGGTTATATTCAAATGCCGTCCGTGAACAGAACAGGGAGATGAGCAGGAACCTGGCTCTGCTGGCTAAACCCTCTGTGGGCAGAGAGAACAAGGATCTGCTTCCCAGAAGGAAGGTGAGATGGGATGCTTGTTGAGAGCCAGACATCAAGGTTCTGAAGGATGCAGTTATTAATAAATATTCACTTTAAACATTTACAGGCCGGAAAGGATGAGTCACCCTTATAGGTCTGTTTTAGAAATAAGACCAGAACTTTAGTATTTTAGACCAAAATAGCCTACAAAATAACCTAATTTCTCAGTAAGTGGTAATAAGTATAAGAGAACAGGTTTTTGAATCAAGGAACAGAATTTACAGTGGCTTAAATCCTTAAAATCCGTAAACCACACCCAAGTCATTTTGAATAAATATTGTTTCCAAGGCTTTGGAATATGCAAGGACCATTCCGAAGCCTAAATTGCCCCCACAGCCGAAGAAGAGAGAGTTCCCTATGAAGGAGAACTTCACTGAGCATGCCCAGTACCTGGAGGACCTAGACATATCCCAGCTTGTGGCCCTGGAGATGTTACAGAAGCGTCACGAAGAAGAAAAGAAGGCTGTAGCCCTTTTCAGAGCCCTGCCCACAATGTAACCCCATATGCATTACGTCTGAACATAGACAATACGATTTGTACAAGGACATCTTCCCCTTTATGGTAAAACTCTAACATGGGTTCTGTAAGCACTTAAAATAGATATCCCTCACAGCCTTAAATAAGCTGATAGTAATTCAGGTTATATAGTTTTGAATGATATTAATAGAGTAAAAACTGGTGAATCAGCTGAAAATATAAAATGTATTATGTTTACACACTTACTATATTTGGATGTTACACATACTGCGTATAAATTAGTTATAATTTAAATGTTATATTTAGTTCAAGCTATACGAATTTTAAGGCATTTTATTGGTTATTTTATAAATTATGAATTACACTAGATTTAAAAAATGTTTTTGCGGTAAGTAATGAACAGGAAGGCTCAACGAGCTACAAAACTACAGTTTTATGATTTAGTGGTCATATTATGAGCTTGATCAGAGTGAATGCAGTAATTATAGTTTAAAAGAATGAAAAAATGTAATCATTGTTGTATCATAAATTACTAATTGTGGCATAACACGTTTGGTTTCACATTTTAAGAGCAGAGGAAAAACATGCCAGCAAGTAAATTGAACCAGAAATCATTATTTTATTAACTTAAAACATTTATGAATAAATGCTCTTTTGCTTTAAATGGTCACCCTGATCTGTGTTTAGATGTGGTGGTGGCTCAGCGGGTAGGACTTTCACTGTATACTTCCAGGGCTGGGGGTTTGACCTCTGCTTGATGTGAGTTTGTGTCTTTTCTATGTGTCACATGGGTTCCCTGGTTTGTTCCTGCAGCCCAGAGACATGCAGTTACCTGTACGTGCCCAGGGGTGGACTGCAGCCTTGTGCCCTACTCTCCCTGAGAAAATGTACAGGGGGGTATTTTACAAGGAGAATTTGCTAGTTAACTGGATAACATAAGCCAAAGATGGAAAGTGTGCAACAGGAGGGCAGCAAAGTTAAGTTACATTTGGCTTAAGTTATCTGGCTAATGAAAAAATCCTGCTTCGTGGAACACCCCCCCCCCGCAAGGATCCTGCTAACCACGATAAGTGCTTTGAAGATGCATGTTAGCCATTAAAACAGTAGGTGGCGTAATGACCACAGGTTCACAGCCAGCCTGATAATTCTCAGAAGAAACGTCACCTACTTGTGCACCTGAGGTGCTGTCCTTTCTCACCCGCCAGAAGATCCGCGTGGCTCTGAATCACATTTGCGATTTTACAGGACATTAAGATTTTTTTCCCTAGTTCAAAGATATCGGAAGCGCTTGGGGATAAAAGGTCACGCTGGCTTGAGATGAATAGCCAGTGGTTCTGTGTGCCAGTCCAGGTCCACTGCACTCATCTTTTCACTCTGCACACACCTGGCTTTGCTGCTGATCTAAAATAATCGACAGTCTTTGGGCAGCTTCTGATTTTACGTCTGAATGTCCCTTTTCATGACCCCCTCTCATGTCAAAATAAAAATAGGTCAAACAATAATGACATTTTGAATACATTCAGATTAGATCCTACAAACTTGTTTTCTGTATTTTAAAGTGATAATTTCCCCCCCATAAAACAATCTCGAGCACCTATTTCTTTAATGGAACCTTTAGATGATTATCAAAGAGCTATTTACTCATATATAATATTTTAATTAGATTATAGTCTCTATTTAACCCATCATGGGTTCTTTGAAGCTCTCTGTTTTTAGTGTTAAGCTTCACATGCGAAGGGTAATAAATTCCGGACCTTTTGAATTAATGAGAAATGCTGCCTTTCCAGGCCAAGTCTCTTTATATCTTTTTTATTTTTTCCACTGGCATAGAATTCAGTTAATTGAAGGAGTCTATCACCACCACACATGAAGGAGGGCGAATTAGCATCCCTTTTACCGATTGGAAAGCCCGGCAGACGCGCTAGCTTTGATCAGAGGACGACAGTGAAGTAGACGGCAGCTCCCTGAAAATGACCTGATGGCCTGGCTATTAGCTGAAAATGCAGATGCGTCCATGTGTTGCAAAATGCTTAATCTTTTAATTGATCACCTTTCACGCTACCTATTCTCTGCGCGCTTTTTATTTTGTCAGTTAATCAGAATCACATTTTGAAATTGGATGAATTGCTTTTCAAAGGGAAATGCGCTGAATGTCCTAATTGAAAGAGAGAGAGAAAGAGAGAGAGAGAAAGAGAGAGAGAGAGAGGGACAGAACAGACTTATTAATGTAAACCTCCCAAATTAATGTAACAACCTCCTGGTACATATTTAAATGACTAAAGTCCTGTAATGACCGCTAGTTATGACCATGACCCGCGTTGTGTGCATATGTGTTTAAAGGGGCTTTTAAAAAGAAACGCGAAGTGTACACCTAACACCGCCGATCACCTTTTGATGTCCGGGCTAAATACTAATGCAAATGTTTTCCTTTGGTTGCAAAAGGAATATATGCAATTCATTAGCAAATTTGAGGGACATTATTGAACCCTTTTTCTACCGCGTATAACGAAACAATGTAAGACTAAATAAATACATTTTAAAAATCGGCAAACACAGCCGTAAGTTTTAAAAGGTGTCATACTCGTCCTTTATTCTTTTCAAAGTGGACAAGCACGCACGTGCAGCTACCGACGTCTGTGGCGGAAAAGTCAAATATGATTTGTGTATTAAATCTTGATTTGTTTTAATTAAAAATGCATGCTAAATGTAAACTATTGTGTAAAATGCAATTTTTACTTGTCGATACTAATGAATATTACCATGATTCAAAAATGTGACAGGTTTTTTTACTTAAATACTTTATATTCAAAGTTGTGTGCAAAGGTGTAAGAGAAGATCATCTCTGGATGTGAACCTGTGGTGTGTTGTCTATATAGCTTGATAAATATCATTAGAGGATGCTTACAAGTTGCTTCATTTGATACCGGTCCAAAAATGTATCACTCTTACTAAGATTAATTAAGAAACACGTCTTATAATGTCGTTTATATATATATATATATATATATATATATATATATATATATATATATATGTATGTATATATATATATATATATATATATATATTAGGCCTACAGTTTATATTTTAACTTTAAAAAATAAGTAAATGCATTACTTTAATAAACTGAAATAAGAAAAATTGTCTGTTTTTTGTGTTTTTCTTTTTTGCTAAATTAAAAATATATGCGTGTAATTAACATCTTCATTTGATGATTAACATAACTACCATTAGGACATACAGGCCTGTTCTAACTTAAGTTTCTTCCGTTAGGCCTACAGTCCAAAGCGAGCGACTCAAAATACAAATATGCGATCACCAGTTTACACAACATCGTTTTATTTTCTTCTAGTTCGGGTGACAGTTTCCTTACATAGACAGAATGTACCAGGAAGACTTTTAACAGACGTGAGACTGTATCACTCCTTAATATAACGTTAAGTTTCAGTCGATTCGGTTAATGTTCTAGTGTTTTTATACATTACAAATGATGCGAATTGTGTTAAACATAAGCAGAACATATGAAAAAAGTAGTAATTCTTAAGTAATTCTTAATTCACATTTAGTGCTTCAGAGCGGTACTAAATGGAGATCACCATTAATAATCAGAGCAGAACCGCACCTGTTGAATAATGATCACCATCCCTGTTCTTATGACCATTTCCCGATTTTTATTAGATTAATACGCGCACGAACAAAAACACACACTAGTAATAATCACAAAGCAGTTTTGTTTTCACTTCAGAGATAACCATGGTCAAGTGAACACTAGACTGACTAAGGAAGATCAACACCCAAACACCCAAGCGAACACATTGAAGAAGTGGCTGTTTCAATAGGCGAGAAAGCCAATGCGGGCTTTTCACTTTGATTTTGCTTGAGTTGTACACTTATACAGCAAGAAACCTTTCCATCTCTCCGTCTTTATATATGTGATTCAAAGCAATATTTGCATATTCCATTTTACTTGTGAATCATTTTAATATAGTTTTGAATAGGTTTATTACAATTTGTTGCGTATACTCCAGCAGGTTACGTGGAAATTGTTTTTAAGGACGCAGAGTGCAATCTGTCTAACTTAAATTATGTGTGTGTGTGTGTGTGTGTGTGTGTTTCCGTGTTAATCCTATTAAGTAAATATAGAGAATAAGTTGAGACTTAAGTTTATAGCCTAAATAATAAAAAGACTCTAACTTATTATATTCGGTCAAAGTAAATACAAAGCATACAGCGAATGGAACGAATATTTTATCTGATAATCTACCCGTCATTACCTATCCGTTTTACATCTCACGGTTTATGAGATTAATTTTCAGTATAGCTCATTTAAGTCTATAGAACTAATGTTTTAGCTGTAGGCTACACTATTCGTTAGAATAATTTTCGTGATGTGGATTTTTCAAATAGTCCATAATTGGAAAGCAATGATATACAAATTCACAGTACAATCCCAGCGGTAACAAGGAATTCAGGATTACATAGATAAGAAGTTGACTAAATGTTAAAAAGAGGAACAGAGGAGCAATAGCTTTTAATTGGAAGCACAAAATAAAATCCGTGTTTTGTCTCAGAAAAAAAATGTGTGAAAACAAATCATACCTGCCGAGATCGGACGATAAAACGTAGAACACCAGTAGCTCGACAGTTTCATATAGTTACGAATTAATTAAGGACTGCGCATATTAATCCCAAGTAGAAAAAAATGGCTTTCTGAATTATATATGTTTCCCGATTTCAATGAGAATTGATTATTGTTCCTAAAAGCACTTAGCCAAGTCCCAGTTCGGCGACTGTCAGGTCCAATGGCTCAGCACGATCGAGATTTAAAATGTCTCCAATTCAAATGCCCGCCGCGCTCGCAGCAGGGCGGTAACATTTTAACTAGGTAATTCGTAATTAAGATGGTGCACATTTGTAAAAGTCGTAACAGTTGGTATTAAATCCGCGCGCTCCAGGGGTAATTCAGAGGTACAATTTTGAAAGTGACATAAAACTGGATTTAGAAGGAACACTATTAAGTTGGACGTTGCGATTCGGGATGGTTTTTCCTGAGATACATTATGTAGGCTACAATTGTTTTCTTCACTTTATCATCATCATTATTTTGATTATTATTTTTATTATTATTATTATTATTATTATTATATAGCCTCTTAATTTAATGTAATACTTATTGAATTTGCATTTGAGTATTGTAGGATAAATAAGACTGGAAATTAGGCTTGTGTTTTGATTGTTTCGAAAGAAACGTGTGAAATCGGATACCTGATGAATTTTATTCAAGCGCAATGAATGTAAATTCGACAAAATGAAAATGAAAATTACAATAATTTATGTATTTTTTAAAAGAAGTAGATCATTATTTGTGCCCGTACTGCAGTGTATTTCGCTGGAGCATGAATTGCTATGCCAAGACGTCTATTTGTCAAAGGTTTTAATTCAAAAGAACAACGGCTTAGTCTACATTTCTACCCACGGTTTATGTTATAAATTGGGTTTTCTTTAAAAAAATGGAAAAACATAATGAATACTGTAAATTAACGTCTAATTTACAATTTAATGAAAGAAAATTACAACATGATACGAATATTACAATTTAGACAAACAGCACGCGAACATGGAAGTGCAACACAAAATCATTGCATTAATTGCTGAAGTCTGCACATCCAGCCGGTCTGTAGGCTAGTTTGTCAGTATAAAAATAAGCGTAAAGTATGGTGAAATTTACAGATTGTCTTTACAAGGTTTATGATTTCGTTGTGGTTTGAAACATGACACGAATAAAATCACACTATTTCGTAAAATATTTGTCCATTGTGTTGACGTAATATTACTATGGAACTGGTATGGTTCTGTCATATTTCAGGCAACCCTCTCAATTTCCGGAAATGTTTTATTTGAACTACGTCCTGTTTTCTGTACATTTGACTCGTGTAGTACGATTTTGTTCTACACGCCAAATACGACAATCAATGAAAATGTCAATGTCCATAAAAATGAATCGCAAGCGCTCTGATAAATGTAATTTAAAAGTATTATTAATCATAGATATTTGTAATAATTTTGTTTTTAAAAAAGCTACATTTCTTTTTCCCCGATGTATGTCAGGTACATTATATGCATTTTCATTGGGGTCTTTAGTTATAATAGCTGTTCCGGGGAGCAAATATCATCATCTTCAATATCGACATCATCTTCATTTTCTTCGAGCATGTATGAGTCCTGGTTCATTGCAGTTTTAACCTCTTCCAATTTTTTTTCACTGCTTTCGTTTTCACTTTCCAAGGATCGGTGCAAGTCATTTGGATTTTTCTGGTCGTCCTGCGTTTTTCTTAGCTGTTTTTTATGCTTCATCCTTCTATTTTGAAACCAAGTTTTAACCTGTACGACAAAGTTTGAGTATTATACAAACTTGCATAATATAGGCCTACTAAAAAATTCTGGTATGTGACATGCAAGTGGATTTGGACAGATTTCTTACCTGTGTTTCTGAGAGACTTAAAGCTGTGGCCAACTCGACTCGTTCCGGGGTTGAAAGGTAACGCTGAATTTCAAACCTCTTTTCCAGCCCAGATAACTGGGAATCCGAGAAGACAGTCCGGGCCTTTCTGCGTCTGCAGTGTTTGCCAGGCATCTCTGGATGATGTTGAAATAAAGCCGGGACTTGCATGCCTGCAAATATATTTGAAACAACAGGCCTAGGTTTTGAGACTATTCACTGTATTTCATTATGTTGCTTTACAAGGTCAAACCTCGTTTTGTTTACATGACCGCTATTAAATGCAAAGACAGTATTTATAAGACTCAATAAATTGTGATGCTATACAAGACACAGTGATCCAGAAATAATTGTGCGTTACGGGGAATCTCAACCCGATACAGTCTTATGTCTGTCATATTAAATAAATGTTATATCATGTTTATATCCGTTTGATTTCCAGTTTTCGCGTTGATTAACCAGTTTGTCCTGAGACTCACGACTTTCACGAATCAACCTGTTGCGCATAACAGACCCTGTTGACATTGTTTAAATTCTAAATTTTAACACAAATATCGCTTTAATGCGCGCTTTCGCTAAAATTTACCCTCATAAAGTTGGCTTAATTGACTATACCTTGAAAGATTTCTGAAATATTTTTACACATATACTATGAACACTTTAATATTTTAGTAATGCATTCGCTTGATTACTTACCAGAGGTAAAGAAATAAGGGTGATGTTCGGGTTTGTGAAGAGGATGGTGAGGATGAGGCGCTAGTATCGGGGTTGGCATCAGGGGATATCCATATTCTAGAAGCGGCATTCGGGATGCTAGTGAGCTGGAAAACGGCGTGTGAAACACCTCTCTCAAAGGTTTGGGTTTATGCAGTAAAATGTCTTCGATGAAGAACGACGTTGACCTCTGGGCAGGCATCTGAGGGACCGGGGACGTGTAGTTCAGATTCATTTCCAGTCTTTGCAAAAACCACGAGGAAGCTCGAGTCCGGAGTTAATGCTATTTGCGCTTCAATAAACGCGCAGCCTCAAAGTCTCCAAAAAATGCTAAACCTTAGAATTATAATCTGCTGTCAACCAGCGAGCAGAGCCCAGGTATATTAGTATTTATTGAAGGGGAATGACAGCAACAAATTGTGAAAAAGATTTGTGATTAGCCAATAGCGCAACGGTAGGGCGGAGGATCGAATTAGTTCTGTATGGATTAATTATACTGACGGCGACGTAGAGGGAGGGTCGCTCACCATGGTGCTGAAAGAGTCCTCTGCCGGTAGCAAGGTCGCTTCTCTCTGACGCGCGCCTTAAACCACTTTGCACCGAAGACCGCTTTACTTAAACCGCATGTTGCGTGAGTCTGATACTATACCGATTTATTTTTATTGTCCCAAACAAGTTGCAAGCTGGCAAATAAACTTAGTATTGGCATGTCCCACTACTGTTCGGTTCCAGTTAGCAGCAGAATCCCAATACCACCTTGTGTTACATGTGTCGTTAGATTAATAGCAACATCTGTTACTAAAAAGGTTTAAAATGGTACTGCAAAAGGTATTATTACATCTGCTTTTAAGACTATTATGTATCCATTACAACTCATACTAGTCAGGACAGAAATGTCTGCATTGTTCACAGAATGAGATACAGAGCAAAAACCCAATAACATTATTAAAATAATCATCATGTTACACAAAATAAATAACATCAAAGCAAAAGCATGCTTTTAAATGTTTTCTATTTGGTAAAAATACTGCATTATCAGTTGTTTCCCCCTAGATATTCCTTCCCCTAGCCATCTGTTAGTTTTAGATTGCTAATTTTTTAGGGATTACAATATTCCAAGACATAATATTGGCTAATACCCCTCAAATTGGCTCTAATTATTGATATTAAACTCTGCGAGAACACAAGTGGGTACTTCTCTTCCATCTCTACGCTGGAAGCAGTAATTTGTTGACATCGAGTTGTCATCACATTTCCAATCACTGCAGTTAATGCTGATAGTGTTTTAACGCAGGCGGAATTCTTTCGGCAATGCTATTAGATAATTAGGGAAGATGTTAGAGCGAAAGTGCTAATCCTTGGGCGCAGGGACAGGATTTCCATTCGATCAGACAGGTAGAACAAATTAATTACTGGATTCAATTAGTTCTGAAAGTGCATTACTCTGACAACTCCGAGACATGTCTTCCATATGTATGAGCTGGTATAAGGTAAATAGATGAGTACCTTTAAGTGACTGCAAATTGTAATGCAGCTCGGTTTTCAATGAACATGGAAATCAGGACGCCATAATAGAGTAGGTTTTTGCGAGCGTGTTCCCTCCCCTGGCCGTGCATTGAAGTTTCTTCGAGGCATGGTGTTTATTTAGCTGACCACGGCGTAACTGGGTCTAATAGACATAAAGTCGGATAGATAGAGAGTAAATAACAGCATAAGCAAATATTTCAAAGCCGTTCGAAAGTAAGAATTCTTCCCATAACGCAAATGAACGCGTTGAAAGGTGTGATCATAAACAATGTTTCGAGAGGGGAAACGACAGCTGTTCTCTATAAGGCTTACGAGTTGATCTATGAAATATTGCCGTTAAAAGGCTATTTGTTTACCCTTTGTTCCATAACAAATTCTGGAGGTTAATAGGCTTAATTGGGGCATTTATGCAACCTGTACAGGTAAGCTCCAAGACCGACTTATAGCTGATAACAGTAAGTAGTAGCTTTCAGAAGGAAATGAGAAATCTAATGAATTAATGGTGATGAAATTGTCTCGGCATGGATGGTCAATAGTGTCCATCCACTTGCAGGCTAGTTGAGCGGCTTTTTGTATTAGACATTTCATCAAATGGAATTTGGAGGCAGGGAGTTGCTGAGTCACTTATAAATGGCACATTTGTGTAAGAAGCTTGAAGGATTATAGGCAAGTTTCACATCTGGCTCCGGACCTTCACGGTGTATTATGCTTTACGTAACGCTATGGGTGTTTGTCCTTTCGGCGGACGCGTATTCCATTTGATTGGCTAGACTAGCGGTTACAGAGGCGGCTGTAGCTGAAAATCTTTAAAAAAAAAATCTTTTCAGAAGTTTAAAACCGCACAGTTTACACAGTTGTGATATTTTTGGAGTGTCGTTTTGGGGCTCATTATTGAAAAAAGTAAAAATGCATAGATTGATTAGATACAAAAAGCCGTCATTTTTCACGACGTTAACATACTTAAGCATTAAGGGAAGAAATTAACCGGAAACATGAAAGGTACACCTTTTAGGGTTTTTTTTTGTTTTCTGTTTTTTGAAACGATTAAAAAAATTATCTATAAATTCACAATTGATTTCCGTTTTTTTTTTTTATATCAGTGGACGATATTTGTAATTCAATAAGCCAGCTGTTATGCTGTAAAAGCCGTGTTCATTTGATGCCGAGACCTGCTTGCCGGAAAGCACTCTCACAAGATGTGTGTGATTGCCATTTTCTTTGTGGATCTTAAGTTTTTCCTTCTGGGTCAACTGCAGGCCACTTACGAACTACAGCTCATATAAATGTATTTCAGCAATAAATGTGCTCCCGTCTTTCCAACACACCTATTTCCTAACGCTTCATGGCGCCTCATCTACCGAAGATACCTTTCTGAGCGCACAGTAACAGGTTGCATCAGAATGAATATACCCTTGCCTTGTCAGGTCATGCTTCAATGCTATTTTACAATGGAAAAGCTGACGCATTAAAGTGAATGTACATGTTTTGGTTTTGAATAATAATATTAAAAGCTAAATCTGACAACGGTGCTTATGTAAGAAACCACCAGTTGTGCTCTGTGAGATTTTAATATTTAATGTCTGACCGTGTCTTCAGTGAATTTTCTCTGAGGCAGGAAAATCTGACTGAGAAGACATTTGTGAATGAGAATCTGGGGCTAATGCCATTTGACAGACGCCAAAATGGCTACGGGAGCCTTTTTGATTTCCTTGTTCTGGACTGCAAAGGCAGTCCAGGGTGGTCAATAGACACAGATGTATGGTGCAAAGAGCTTCCCAGCAGGCCAGTGAGGCCAGCTAATCTGTGGAGAGGCCCATTTCACTCTCATTTCACTCCCATTTCACTCATCCTGTCCCAGCGAGGCTCAAGATCATTGGCCACACTTGTCAGGAACAATGAAACCCGCCCGACATGGAAATGTCAGAGAAAGGAACGCCAACCAGCTCCGTGTCCCCTGCCAATTATTTTTGCGACCTGCTAATGTTTGTATTTGTACTGTTTTATTGTTACATTTTAGTTTCAATTGCATAATGAATTTACACATCCTTTTAAGGTTCTTTCATAGTTTTTTTTCAATTGCTTTGAAGCATTTCTCAAATAACAATTAGCATTTGCAAAACAACAAGTATAATCCCCAGACGATAATATCATTTATGCACAGCAGAACATCATTTCTCATTGCTTCACACAAATTTCCAAGTGTTTTAATACAAATGTGAAAATGGTTTTGTACAGTTGTCATTCAGCAAAATTTTCAGTTGTTTTACTCTTGTTGGTCAATATAGATTCTGTAGTTTTGCATTGTAATAATTTTACACACAAAACTATATATGCATTGTCATCATCGTGTTCGCCACCACATGCAAGACCATTAACCAAGCTTTCAAAATGATTTAAAAATATATTCCATAAACTGCAGTGATGTGGCATTGCTGTCTTTTTGGTTCCCACAGTACATGATTTTGTTGTTCTTCTATTGCCATTTTGATGTTTTTGTGACTTTTTTGTTTGCTATTGTCCTGTGTCTTGAGATCTAAAGAGGTTATATGTGCATGTGAGTGCTTTCTCTTGCCAGTGAACTTTACATACTGTAATGTAGAGCCTCACAGTGTTAAAACTGGTGTCTTTGATACAAATAAGTATCAGTTTGCTAAAGAAAAATGATCAGTCAGTGACAATGAAGACTATCATTCAGAATCGTGGAGCTCAGGAGCAGACTTTCACTGACTATCTATCTATCTATCTATCTATCTATCTATCTATCTATCTAATCAATTGTTTGTTTTTGAGTGGTCCATGAAATCTATTTCATCTGTAAGTTTTAAAAGACACTTGAAATATTTGTTGCCTTCATTTTCATAAGCTTGCATTCATCAGCAAAAGAGTTCTCAGAAACATGCCAGCTTAAGCGGGTAAGTCATTGAGAATACCAGAGCCAATTAAATGTGATTTTTGTCCCTTCTCTGGTTGTATTTTACAAGAAGTGTAATTGGATGCAGCTTTTACAAGACACAAATCACAGCTGAATATTTTAACAAGGCCATTAGACTACTATGAAGAAGGTATGCCATTTTTCACTTGCATTCTTTGAAGAAAGCGGGCTACACTCATTATAATATGAAAATTCAAACAACACTTTAGAGATTTTTGAGGGACAAACAGGTTTCCTTTGATGCTGAACAGTTGCATCACGAAACTTGGTATAACAAGCGTACATCGTGTTATAAATGGCTGCACAGTCACATGGTACGTTTGCGTGATTAATGATGCGTATCTCACTGTTTTATGTCATAGCGGTAATTAGAAAGAGGGGGAAGATTGGGGGATGTTTCAGACTCTTTTATTTATGCTGCTGTGGTCACAAAGGTGTACAGCAATGATGGCTCGATTTCAGTTAGCTCAAAGCCTCAGAAAAACATTCTTTTATCGGGAGTTGGTGCTCCTTGGGCATTCATGCATCCGATAAGCACACATGTAGAAAATACCTTGAAAACATAAAAAATGCAGGGGGATTTGAAGTTTTCCCTGTCATATAGACATACAAAAAATTTATATATACTGATCTGGTATTACGCTGTTTCTATGAACAGCAGGCACTAAAGTTACACACCATATACGGCCTTCCTCAACAAACACTCTTATAATAAATTTATTTAACATATTCTTCATATGTAGAGTTTCCAAAATAAATCAGTAAAATAAGTCTTGCTCTGAATGTATATATATTTAAATATATAAGTATGAAGCATTAGCATAAAGCTAGCAGTCTGTTCGGCGATCTGTACCCCCATGGGTTGCAGCCTGTACCTGAAAAAAACATGAGCATCACTGCCACCCAGCCAATGATGTAGGACCAGGAGAATCTCCAGCTTGTATATCGTCTCCCGTAATAATTGACAGTCGCCCCAGTGTAAATGGCCATCGCCAGCAATACAAAAAAGCCTACATAAGAGAAAGACAAAAGCAGTAAGGGGTCATTTCATATATTCATACATCCATGCTGCCGTTTAGTACACTCAGTCAGAGACAGACAGGGCTGCTTCTCTGAAAGAGGCATTCTGTCTGATGGCAAAGGTAAGTATCTTCTTTTCAGCACATTACTCAGCCTCTGTTATCTGTGAATGTGTGGTTACAGCATCATAGAGCACTTAATTGATACTGTCAGTTAGTAAGGTTAAATGTAAACTCACATAATTTAACATTGATATGCTGTTTCTACTGGAATTATTTCAGTGATTGTGCCACTTTGGCAATGGTTAAATATGTCACCAAACATGTAATCTGACATTATGCCTTTTTTGGTGCATTTCTCAAATCATCCATAACATTTGCAAAACAGTAAGCGCATCTCTGGAAACAATTCATATAAACAGCACCTCACAATGGGTTACCTGCAAAAGCCCATAACTTGCTCAAAATCCTTAGTTCATCTCCCAGATGAAAATATTTATGTGAATGAAGATGTCAGTGCCATCAGAATGACAAGTCTGTTTGTCATTGTTTACAAACATGAAAGTTGAAATGTATAGCTGTCAAGTCTCCTGTTTTGGCCAGGAAACTACCGTATTTTACCCCTCCTTCCCGCCGTCCTCCCGTATTAGTATTTCCCCGTAAATCTCCTGTATTATAATATAATTTAAAAAAAAAAAGCATTTTGCAATTTGACCGATTGAATGAGACTTATGATGTGCACAAGTGACTCGATGATATGGAGGTTGGACGAGTAGTTTTGAGAATTTCAGTTCTGATCTGAGAAATGCACCAATGCGACTGAAATAAACCTGTAATATGATACCACTGTAACTCTTTCAAGGCCATTTGCTTAGATACGGCCAGGCACCCCACCCAGGGTGTCCCATTCCTTGTGTCCTGTGCTTCCTGGGACTGACTTCTTGCTGAAGGTAACCCAAGCCTGGATGACCAGGTATAAACAGTGGATGGCTATATCGCTAATTAATATCACATCTCAGGTCTAAATCCACAAGAGATTTCAGCTGATGTCACAATAACAGTATCAGTAGGTGCTAGGAGTGTTGGTAGAGCTGAAGAGGCTTGTGTCTGGCGTAAAGGACAGGCCAGTTAACCCGCCCAGTGGGCGGGAGAGTGTGCAAACAGTGGTCGGAGCGGGCGGGGCCACTTACACGAGACGAAAAACAATGTTCCCGCAGTAAAGGTTTTGTCGAACCTGACAAAGTAGGAGCTGTGGATGAAAGCCATGATGCCAACGATGATGCCAAAGAAGCAGGCCAGCAAGGAGAGGATCATGAAGGCTTTGGTGGCGTCCCAGTAGGCTGCCCTCAGGAGAGACGGACAGCAGCCATTACTTTGTGTTTCTATGTCGTCCAGTTACTTGATTTGTGTGTTTTTGTGCTTTTCTTGTTTTATATGTAGGCTGCTCACTGTCCAGCCCAGTGGTGAAACATCAGTGCTGAGTAATAATTCACATTTGAAGCTGCTGTTCCTCCCATTTTGTATGCATGTGTTTATATATAATATATGTAGAGAATATATATAATTTAACATATGTGCATATGTGTAAAAATCCTAGAATCACCCCTGATCAAATATATTCATTATTTATTCATAAATACAAAACATTTGGAAATCTGTCGGTCTACGGTTTATGCTAAAGTCAATTTCATATTCATTCCTAAAAATTAGCCTGCATCTGGTGCAGTATAAAATAGACACTGATTAATGTCTGATTGAAAATGTGTCCTTTGCGTGCCTTTTAGCCACAATAATCTGAGCCGTGGCATTCAGCTTAGGCATTTGAACGAATGAGACTCCCTGGCAGTGTAACATTTAGCTGTTGGTGGTGATGTTCAGGCTGTGCTTCCCCCGCTGCTGACCGCCTTACCGATGCCGTCCGTTTGGATGAAGCATTTTGACAGTGTGCAATACCGCCACAGGCCCTGATGCATGTAGTTGCTCGAGTGGCGGTACTGCATCCAGTAATCGGTTGCTGTGGAAACAATCAGGAGTACATTCCCCACGCCGGCACAGAACAACCCTCCTCCCATGAAGCTGTACATCCTGTACCTACAGACAGACTGACAGAGAAGATATTTCTTTGGATCATGGGTCACGTTCCAGCTGAGTGTCTTCTAGTGTCTTCAAATGGATCATAATGAACACATTCCCTAATAATGCGTTACATGTCACAAACATGGCCTCATGGTGCTTGAATATGTTCATGTGGAGCTGTCGTTTTTATAGTATTGGTATAGATTTGACAAATGGGTTTGAGAAGTGGATTTGAGTTACAAAAGAAGCTTTAGTTGTGTGAAATCTTTTTGGTAGTGTTGCTGATTTTCTTCCTGGTTGAAATGCACAAGAGCTGCTCTCCACAGTTCAGCCTTATCTTTTAGACTTGTTTTGACTGGATCTGGTGTCCAAACATTACCCCACTTCACACTACGGCTTTGCAAGGTGGTTTCATCATTGCTTTCTGCTATTTTAGAATTAGAATTTCTGCTGCTTAGTGTATATTTAAATCAATGTTAGTTTTTTGAATTGCAATTCCTTTTTATTTACTGAGATTGAAATACAGAACCGTTTCTAACATCATTTAATCTCCAAGGAGACGCTGCTCTTTTTGTAGCTACCAGTAGGTGGCGACCCTGTTTTGCCTGATTTAAATAGGCTACAACATTTTGTGCATTTTGTACCAAGAGACTATTAGTCTGTTTTGCCTAAGTTATAATGATCTTTCTGCAACTGAGAGACCTGGAAAAATAGAAAGCTTCGTTGATACAGATATTTACACAATTATAATAATAATTATGAAATAATGAAAAATCATATTTTTTTGGAAAGCAGGTTTCATCTGTACAGATGATTGGCATACAATATAACTATAAAATTAAATATGAAGTCAACTTAAGAAGTCGCTTATTTACATTGAAACAAATAAATAATCTGAAATAAATAAAATATAAAAGCAATTACTCTGCAATCCAGGATAAGTGGTTGAAAGATGGATGGATGGATGGATGGATGAATGAATGGATGGACGGATGAATGGATGGATGGATGGATGGATGGGTAGATTGGCAGATGGATAGTAAATACATTTATATTTTACAATAAAAAGACATGAAACATGACTGAAATGCAATAAGAATAAATAGGTGCGTGCTTGACTGTTAATTTGAATATTAATATGCTTCAGTAACATAGTCTCCATATTATGCCCTCTGCAGAAATAAATAATTCTGCTTAATGTCTTGTTTTATTACTAGATGACTAAGATGTAATAATAGGTATAAAACCCTACCTTGATGAATCCTGTTTATGAAGTCCAAGTAGTTCCGTATTGAGGTTGAATTGTCTGTCAAAAACACAGTAAAACTGGTAATGCCAAGACAGGCAGATTTCCAGCTACTATTAGCACTAACGTTCTGTTAGTGACCAGCAAACGTAGAAAAAACAAACGTAGTGAGCAAACAAAAGGGAATGACACCGTGACAGCCAATCAGGGTGAAGTCGTTTTGTAATTTGGGAATCTGCTGAAAAAACAAAAGTTTATAAGCTTGCTGGGCTCATTAATACTGATGACTGGGTGATTTCAATTGCAACTGAAATCTCTTTAGTGGAGGCCAGGTGATGCGTTAAATTGGACACTCCACTGGAAACCAGATAAAGCCGTTAAACTCCTCTTTTAGAGACAAAACAAAGTTATGTTCTGTCAAAAGTTTTCTGTTATAGATTAATGGTTAGCTTGCTCTGCTCCAGTAATTATAAAGAGTAGCCTACAGTTCATTTTAAATGAAATTATTTTTATGCTTAAAGTCAGCGTGGAATGCAGCACTTCAAATTCTGTGAATGGGTTTTGTGCATTGCTGTAGAACTGGACAGTCAATAGCTTCCAGATGATTCCTGCAGATAATTGCTCTGCTATATACTTGGTGTTGATATTGAGCTAAGGATGGTATTCTTTATGATGTGATGAAATCACACCGAAGGCCAAACAGAGGAAAATTTACTCTTCGCATTTGGCAACGCAATAGCTATTGCCGGAAATCACTCACATAGGAGTTAAAGTGAGATAAGTTGACAAATGTTTGAAATTATGTTTTTATTACAGGAAGAAGCTGCATGCCTGATGTACAATTACTGTTCAGCATAAAATACTGAATTCACCAGGTTGGCCCAGACTGTAAAAAAAGCACCAATGACTTCTTTCCAGCTTTGAATGTGTCCGATTCGGGATCTCATTTTCACCTGTATAGACCTGTGTCACCCCTGACAGGTTATGTCATCATCTTGCTCACTAATAAACCCCTCTCTCTTGCCATACATCTTTAACCATTTTCATTCCTTAAGCGATTAATTAAACCTACGTCATCACAGGACACTATATGCAACATGAAAGGATCAGTGGAGGGCAAAAGGAAACAAGGAAATTTATCTATGTGCTCAAATGCCATCAATTCAATAAATCGATAGGCAGACAGCGAAGTTCGGACACAGATCCAAATTGTGCCATTGAAAATTAAAGAGGGCCATTTCTTTCCCTCATGCCAATTATACATTCTCTGCCTTGCCAGATGTGCCTTTATTCCGGAGCTTCGCCCGTGGAAGATGAAAGGAGGCGAGTAGGTCCATTACATGCATTAGAGCAAGTTGTTCAGACCAACTGTCGACTTCAAAATACAGCAGGACAGGATCTTTCAAAGACGTGAGTGCCACACTTACTCCTAACTTCATTTTTATAGACTGCGGCCTCTCTCCCCCTGCACCCCCTTCTATGAGGGCATTTGGTATTATCCTGTACTTTCAAAGTGGGCAACATCTCTCAGCGATGGAAAAGCAATTCTGCATCAAATGCGTCCTGCTCCTCAAAGATTAATTCTGTTTGTGAACAGAATGCATTGATATGTGCGCAAAGAGAAAGAGTTAAGATACACAGTGAACAAGTGATAAAAGCATTTAGACTGACATGGTGCCCAGGTGAATCTGCTTAAAGGAGAAGTGGCAGGAAACTGTATATTAAATATGTATGGAGGACATGTATGCTTTTATGTAGTGTGTACATGGAAGAAAAAGCCTTTAATGTCTGCTATCAAGCATCCGGCAAAGCAGGATTCTAGTTTATTTCTTACATGCCAGTATTGTTTTGCGGTTTCTTTTGTTATTCTTTTGTACCAAAACAATTTGTAAAATAATAAATAGTAACACTAATAATAATCCATTTATCATCTTCTGACCACTCACCCTAACAGCCACAAATAATAAAATTCATTTGCGTTTTCCATAGTCCATGTTCTTGTCTTCATAGAAGCCCTTCATCTCAGAGACTTTTTCAGGGTCATTCCTACAGTAATTTCTTTAATAATCATTTCTTTCAACTGATATATTCATTGATATATTTATTTAAATGCCCATTAAAACACCAGTGTCAGTTCAGAACTGGTTTCTGGTGTATATTGCTGTGTGCCATGTAAAATACATCATTCATATCAAAATTATGTATAAATGTATATAAACTATAAATATGCCATGTCATGTGGCAATACACTGAATTAAAATTTTTAAAAAGCAATGATGTCTTTTTGTTTAGTAAACTTACATATGTTTGTATTGTGCATTAAACTTCAAATGTATCTGATTATATGATTTTCAATTTGCCATAATAATCTATTTATTCCATTATTTGGAGGTCAAAATGGACGCGTTCCAACGTCAGTCTCCCTCTTTCCTGGTTGCTGCTCTCTTTGAATGACACCCAACCCCCGAATACAAGCCGGTTGCGACGGGGACTTAGCAAAACTAATGAATGCTGCCAGGAGAGTGTTTCTGAATCCTTTAAGTCACCAGCCGCATTCCCTCTAAATGCTTAAATTAACTCTATAGAATTTCATTTAAGGGGCTTCGCATGTCTAATTTATGTGGCAAGCACTTTCAACATTTTCTTAGCGTTTAACCAGCGGCCTTAATCAAAAGAGCGTGCAGATGATGTTTCTTCCGTCTACGCCGGGCTGCACTATGTTTGCGGGGGAAAAAAACTTCCACTTAACCACTTAAATGAATATATCAAGAAACTAATTTGCCATTTTAATTGCATGATTTAAGGAGACGCTACCTTACTTTCTCCCTTCCATTTTGCTCGAGTTCCAATGTGAGCATACATTAGATTGATCTATGAAAGACCGCCGAATTCACAACACTTAAGTCTTTTCATTTCCTCCTTAATTGAATAATTGAAATTCCTGTCAGTGTCTGCGCTGAAGTGGCACCCCAGCATGGCATGCGCCGTGCAGAAACAGATTGTTTTTTGCTTGTCTTTTTTCTTCTTCTTCTTCTCCTCCTCATCGCTTCCTCCGTGAGAGCAAAGATTCACTCCATCTGTCAAACCCAGAAATAGATCAGTACATGTCCATTTTGTTGAGATTTACTACTCCCATTAAGTGATTGCGTGTAGAAATGACGGGGCATTTCCCTCAATGCTTTCTTTGAAACACTGCAAGCACACATTAGGGACACATTACTGGGCCCATTTTCTCCCAGCTGCAGGGATATCCATTAAGGTTGTCACAGCTCTAAATTTTTTTTCCATTTTCTCTTTCGCTAAACTTGACTATTCCCTTCTCTGTTTCGTAATTTGCGGGTACAAATTATATCAATGGAAAGCTATCTGTCTTTTTGTGTTGCAGCCCGCTGGAGCTATTTGCTAAGTCTGATTCCGACTGGGTGCATTATTAGGTGGCATGGTTTGTAGGTAGATGTAATGAATTTCTTTTAGCTTCTCGGCACAGCTGGAAAGTCCGCCAACAAACAGTATGTTTGTTTTATTGCCGGGTAAAGGGTCTGTGTTCAGCTTTAGGTTACAGCAGCCTGTGTGTCTGTCACACTCCTTGTCACAACCATTATATCACCTGTGAATGTATCACTCGGGGAACACATGCATCAACAGGCGAACATCTGGCAATTGGTTCCCCCAAGTAATCCTTTCATGACATTTTTGTTCTCAGACGTACTACACGTGTTCGGAAAATAAAACGAGCACGCGCCAAGCTCTGGTTTCCAAATT